CCGATAGGGCGCCGCCATGTTAAGTTTTTGCAACTAGCGGCACCGGACATGACCATATTTGGAGGAAACAGTGGAGCTAACAGCCTCGTGCGGAGCTAGCTAGCTTGCTTAGCTAGGTGCAACTGTAATGTGTTAACTGTCATTTTACTAGGGCTGACAATTTTGTCTCGCGAACAAAAGGCTTAAAACTAAATGTACTCACCAGAGAAAGTGAACAGCTAACTCCTAATAAGCTTTTTCAACGGCGCTGGTTAAATTTACACAGTGCCGTGGGTACGAGTCACTCTAGCCTGATTGACAGGTTGCCATGGTAATGACTTTTCAATCATAGATAATCCCCACCTGAAGCATACTCTGCTTTATGGTCTATTGTCCTCTAAATGGGACCATAATTTACTAAATGAACATCATGTTGTGTTGAAGAAGAAATGAAACTTGTGATTGAGACCATAAACTCATCAGGAAAGTGTTTACTGAGGTAATAAATCATGTGAGAAGTAGGGTCATTTTACCATTATTTCTAATGGAACCGGACTTCTATTTGCAACCAGAAGATTCGCCCCCTGCTTGCCGTTCAGTAGACTGCAGGTTTAAGGGACTTCCGAATTGGATTCACGTCTCTGAACGGAAGCTTCCCGCTTGGGTGGAAGAGAAGAACAAGTCCTTAAGTTAAAGTGTAGAAGTATTAACAGCTAAATGTAGTTAAAGTAATAAAAATGAAAGTACTCAATCTGCAGAAAAATGACATCCATGGCCGATATATTATACATGTTGGTCGAGGTGTGTTTTACCTACTTTATATACAGTAAGGTAGTTTAGTCCATTTGTTCCCAATCCGGAGGCCGGGCCCTTCAAATTATCACAATATAAATCCATGAGATGCTGAACAGGGCACTGGAAAAATTTGTATGAATTGTTTTAGCAACTAATTGTTGCTGTTTTGGGGTCTTGAACAGTTAATTAAACCATTCTGTGGTGGACAACAACTACTTTTTTGTAATGGGGTGGTGATGGCGCAATGGATAAGATGAGGTACGATGAGGTGCCTTTGGTGTGAGAGACCTGGGTTCAACTCCCCACTGTGACCCATCTAGCAAGACACTTAACCCCTAGTTGCTTCAGAGGCGTGCGACCTCTGACATGTATAGCAAATGTAAGTCGCTTTGGATAAAAGGGTCAGCTAAATGAATAAATGTTAATGTAATGGGCCACATAGTCCAAAATGTTGTGTTTTATAAGTGTGTCATGTTTTTTTTTCTTAATTTGGAAAGTGACCGGTAACTACAACTGTCAGGTAAATGTAGTGGAGCAAAAGTACAATTTGTGTAGAGTAGGGGAGTAGAAGAAAATGGAAACACTCAGGTCTAGCACAAGTACCTCCAGTGCTCTTACTTTCCACCACTGTTTGTTTCATGATTTAAAAATCATGAAATAAACAGTGGTGTGTGTTCACCAAAAAGTGAACACACAGTGATTGTGGTTCAAGGGTCAGTCATAGTAAAAACACAATATGTTGCTGAGGTCTTTGAAAACCTGGTTAAAAGTTCTATGAATTAATATAACATCATATTTTTGACAGAGTTTCTGGTAGGAATGAAATTAGACTAGTACTTACTTTGACTTCCTGTTGAGGGCAGCAAAACACCTACAGAGTTTTCACAGCAGAGGAGAGAGACTGTTCAACAGGTCTGTCCTGATCTCCTCCTGGGTCTGTAAATCCTGCGCAGCATGTGGATGAATAACTGGTGATTGCAGCCCTCAAGTCTCTCCTACTGCTCTAGTACCATCAAAAAAGTAGCCATCTAATAGTGAGGTACTTTACTATAGCAATGCTACACGAATTACTATGCACATTATCATTTATTTATACAGTACCAGACTTGCATAGCCTATACAAGAAAATCGCCCAATATTATCTTAAATTTAGTTTAAGTCTGTTTTAGGTTTTAATATATGATGTTAGACAAGGGCTGCAACTAACAATTTTTGATTATTATTGATTGATTATTATGCAGATTCTTTTCTCAATTAATGGATCAATCATTTTGTCTATGAAATACTAAAAACTAATGTCCAACCAACAGTCCCCATTTCATTTACTATCATACGACAATGGAAAGCAGCAAATCCTCACATCTGTGAAGCTGAAACCACCACATGTTAAGCCTTCTTGCTTGAAAATAAAAATTCATTGTAGTTCTATGTTAGATTTTATGCTTGAGAAACACACTCGTTCATGCTATCTCTATATTCCTCATTAACTTTTCCCCCATATTTTCTTAAGCTGTTCAGAATCTAGTGACTCAGACTGTCTAACATGACTTAATATGTGATGGTTTCCTTTCAGCTTCAGAGGCCGCCCATGACCTGTGAAAATTAGATTTTTCTCTTTGCAACACTAATTACCTGTCTTACACTCTTTACCTGCACACTTGCCCATTCTCTAAATCATGCACTTTACACCTATAGTCATTACAGTCATTTTTCTCCTCTGCTACTCTTTCACTGTAGCTGAAACATATCTATGATTCATATAGATTTATTTTATTAATGGCCTCTCATGCTTGGTCTGCTGCTTCTGTATATTGTTATATTATAGTCAGTGTAATTTACTCTCCACCAGAGAGCACAGTTTACTCAAAGCTTTACTTTCCCCAAACGCTTGATACCACACCACCATTTTTCAGCTCAACAAATCTTACCTCACCCCGCACCAGACTATTCCTTAATGAAGACTGATCAATTAGTGCAGTTTTATTACCGAAAGAGAAAAATGTATGTAACCCATTGACATGGATCCAGGGCCCTACAGCCCTGAACAGGACAATCAGGTGTATAACATGGATGAATGGGTGGATGGATGTATTTTATCCCCAAAAGCAGCAGAGTTTGGGGAAAGCAAGTTCAGAGCAAGTGTTTTATCAGTGTAGGTCTTATTTTTATTTTTCTATTCTTCTGTATTTCTTGTAAAGAAAATGGTAACAGGAGCACTTCTGGTGTCCATTACATCCAAAAGGTCTCTTGGAAATGGGAAAAGAATTATTTAAGAGGAAAAAATGTGTCTACATCCATTGCATACAGAGATTAGAGCTGAAACATTTGGTCAATTCATCATTTAGTCCATTGACAAAAAACTATTCTAATTGATTAGTCGTTCAATTTGATGGTTCCAGTAAACAGAGTCTCTTTGAGTTTAGGACTGTTGGACAATAAAGGCTATTTGAAGACGTCACCGTTAAGCTCTAGGAATTTATGATGACCATTTTTAACTCTTTTCTACTGTTTGATAGGCCAAATGATTAATTGATTATTGATATTAATCAAGACAATAATCAGCAAGTTAATCAATAATGAAAATAATTGTATTATATGTAGCCCAAAGTGAATGATTTAAGGCATACACGCACCTAAATTGAAAAAATAAGAAAACTATAATACATATGGGTTTAACAAACGGCATTTTTTCCCCCACTGAAGTAATAAAATACCAAACACATGGCAGCAACTGTTATAGAATTAGTCCTTCAACATGGAGGACTAATTCTGTAATAGTCAAATCTTTGCTGGACTGTCATGTCCTATCAGTGTGCAGATCACCTTGTATTAATAATTGAATGGAAACTTACAAAGCATTTATGCATACATGCTAATTAAAAATGAACAATAATTTAAAAAAAATACTGACACCACAATGGGCTAAGAGGCCCATTAAGTGCTAACCATTCATAAACCGAAACATTTAATACAAAAGAAAAATAAGTTATCCCATTTGACAACAGCAGCATCCTACTCAGCGAGAATGACCCTCTGCGACATTTAAATCCATTACCGGCCAGTGAGAGTAACGCATCCATAAGCCCCAAATCTCTTTAATACAACACCTATTAGGAAAGTGCTGAGCTCTTCACCAAGAGCTAAGATGGTCCACTACTCAGCAACACCACTGCATCTGCCCTACATTCAATGTAGCACAGAAAACCAACCACATACCACGCATTGATACAGAAATCAGGATATATTTTTAAATATTTTCAAGAAGATAATTGGCAGATTAATCTGTAAGGAAGATAATTGAGAGTCGCAGCCCTACTCAAGTCTAATTTGTGTTAAGGAAGAAGGGTCAACTATAGTCCAGTTATGAGTGATTTTGACTACTTGTACATAAAAGAATTCATACTTTTCTATTGCACCTGCGAACACCCTCAATATAGTGCTCTAAAACAGCGACTCCTTTTCAGATATTTCACAAAATGCTTTTAGAGGTGCACCAAAACCACATGGCTTTGGGCTGAATTTGTTTTTAGAATAAATGTTACCCGTACAACTTAATTTAATGTTATAATTTACTGTGTTAGATTAAGGTTTTAGGGTTACAACTTACATTAAATTAATTTATATTAATTCATCACATTTACCGGCTTAGCTGTATTCAGGGTCATGGGGGTCTAGAGCATCTACCAGCAGAGAGACACTTTGATGAGGTCACCGTCTATCACACAGCTAAAACAGAATGACACAAATGCTTAAATTCACATTTATAAATATATATGTGCAAATCAGCAAATCCCCTCCACTTTTGTGTGTGTTTTTATGAGCACCTCGAGGAAAGTTACACGAATATGAGGGTATAAGCAGTCGTTGAAGCATCCTTCAAATTTAGTGCACATGAAAAGATGAATTATTTACACAAGGTATCATGTTGTAAGAATGCTTTAATTAAGCAGTCTTTGGGTAGCTCCTCAACAATGGGCAGGAGCAGGTGCAACCTTAATATCTTGATGAGTGGTCAGTTATGTTTGCAGTGGTAGCTGGATTAGATATTAACTGTGTCCTAAATCACTTTGTGCTGACGGATTTGGAAAGTGATAATCCAAGGTGTGCCTTTAAAAGCCAGACCGTGGCTACCTGGGTCCATTTGTAGCAAGGTCCCTCTACATCACTGTCCTGATAAGCCAGAAGAAACACCAAGGAAGGGCTGATCGCAACCGCAAGCAGCAATCATGAACGGCACAGAGGGACCTTATTTCTATGTCCCTATGATTAACACCACCGGCGTGGTCCGGAATCCTTATGAATACCCTCAGTATTACCTTGTCAACCCAGCTGCTTATTTTGCCCTGGCATGCTGGATGTTTTTGCTCATCCTTCTTGGCTTCCCCATCAACTTCCTCACTCTGTATGTCACCATCGAACACAAGAAGCTGCGAACCCCTCTAAACTACATCCTGCTGAACCTTGCCGTGGCTGACCTCTTCATGGTGTTTGGAGGATTCACCACAACGATGTACACCTCCATGCATGGCTACTTCGTCCTAGGACGCCTTGGCTGCAATCTGGAAGGATTCTTTGCTACCCTTGGTGGTGAGATTGGCCTCTGGTCACTGATGGTTCTGGCTGTTGAAAGGTGGCTCGTTGTCTGCAAGCCCATCAGCAACTTCCGCTTTGGGGAGAATCACGCAATCATGGGTTTGGTCGTCACTTGGATCGGGGCCTGTTCCTGTGCTGTGCCCCCTCTCGTCGGCTGGTCTCGTTACATTCCTGAGGGCATGCAGTGCTCATGTGGAGTCGACTACTACACCCGTGCAGAAGGTTTCAACAATGAGTCCTTTGTCATCTACATGTTCTGTTGCCACTTCATCATTCCAATGAGTGTTGTGTTCTTCTGCTACGGCCGTCTGCTCTGTGCTGTCCAGGAGGCTGCTGCTGCCCAGCAGGAGTCTGAGACCACCCAGAGGGCTCAAAAGGAAGTCACCCGCATGGTCATTATCATGGGTATAGCCTACCTGATATGCTGGGTGCCCTATGCCAGTACGGCCTGGTGGATCTTCACACATCAAGGCGCTGATTTCGGACCAGTCTTAATGACCGTTCCGGCTTTCTTTGCCAAGGCTGCGGCTGTCTACAATCCAATGATCTACATCTGCATGAACAAGCAGTTCCGCCACTGCATGATCACCACCTTGTGCTGCGGGAAGAATCCCTTTGAGGAGGAGGAGGGAGCCTCCTCTACTGCTTCCAAGACCGAGGCCTCCTCTGTCTCCTCCAGCTCTGTGTCTCCTGCATAAAAGGGCTGTCAACACAGGCTCCATGATCCACTATCCAAGAAGAAGACCTCTGCTCCCCTTGGGAAACGACTGAAGGCTAATGTCTACAGAAATAACCTTTTTGTATTTTTACAACATGTTGGTTCAACATAAAGACAGTTGCAGGAAAGGTCAGCCCATTACAGAGTTGTTCCTGTATGTACAGAATATCCAACTTAACAATCTATGAGATGTTTTTTTTCCTGAGCAGAAAGGGAAAAAATGTATCTTTTACTGTTGGATCCTATATGATACTGGCTTATTTTTGAATGTAGAGGCATGTAATCAAGGCAACGTAAAATAAAACGCACTTTGCAAATGACTCATCCTGTTTGTTTTACTTACAATTTGGGTGGCAAAGTTCATATGACTGTAGTATATTTAATCAAATGAATAAATGTGAATGACCTATTCAGAATGCATTTATGTCTTGAGTCCATTTCTACTGCAGAACTTGATGGTACAGACACTTAGAACAATACAAAAATAATGTTTGAATTTATTTTGTAGAGGCATTTGCATTGCTACATTAATCTCATTTCAGTCACCGGTCACCTTGGACTTAGAACTTGGCCTACCTAAGGGATTATGACATTATTAATCAGGGATGAAAATACACACGACGCAACACCAACATAATTTGATGATGAATATTAATCACATTAGTTAAAGGTTAACACAGACAAAGACTTATAGGATAACAAATCCATATTAACGAGACACCTTGATGCAAAGGTTATGGAAAGGAAACAGTTACTCCTCGCTTGTATTCCTTCCATCATATCAAATATGATATCCTTAAAATAATGAGTTTGTCAAAGGATGACTAGGTAACACTTGACTTTAAGTTCCCCTATTTAGCATTTATAAGAAGTATATAACCATTTAATAATTTGTTTATAACAGTTATGTAGTTGTAGCAGATATGTGTGTTTATTAATGTTTTTGTTAACCATAACTATTTCTGTGAGCACCCATAAGTGAAGGTGGGTGTGTAAACAGATAATGAATGACAGTATAGTAAAACACGGTTTTCATAACACAAGTTCTAATTGTGGGCGAATGCTGTACATTCATTTAAAATGTCCTTAAAGCTGCTTTACAGCTACATTATCGTGTGTTAAAAACTATTTATTAATTGTTTGTATTTTCCTTTAAATGCTAAATAAGGGGGCTTAATGTAAAGTTTTACCAGTTATGAATACTGACAATTTACTTACTTACTTGCTTATAGAGCTAATACATGCTAAATATGGGGGGCAAGTCTTACAGAAGAATCAGTTATTGAAAGAATCATTGGGAGAGCTGTACAGCCCCCAGCTGTCAAGATATAGAAAATAAGAGCAAAGGTGTTCTTTTATGATACCCCCATTCAGTAATACTCTATAATGACTACTGCATTCAACAGTGGATAAATATTGCAAACTGAGTTGCACGATAAATACAGAAACTCAAGTAATAACATGATTCCTCCTCCCCCTCCTGCTGGTTGTGCAAGTATGCCACGCTAGAGGGGGAAAAAAACCCCACCTCAAGATCTCTCCCATAATGACCTTCATGTGTAGCTATAGCAACCATCATACCAGTGGATCTTTCTTGGAATACAGATACTCACCGAGCAGACTGAAGTGTAGCTCCAGCTGAGAGTTTAAATGAAAGAAATATTTTTTTTTCTAAACCTATCACTCACTGCTTTAATTTGGCACTAAAAAAAGAAGAGCATCTCCTGCTGCGTTTGCAAAATCACACTCTAAAAAATGGAATGTAGGCATTTGAAGAATATTATGGCAACCTTATGAATTTTTGTTCACGTAGACAAGATACCATTTAGCTTTTTTTTAACTACATGCCAGCTATAATCTTTTCAGTTCAAAAGAATCCAGTAGACTAGAAATCATCCCCCTAATCAGACACTCAGTTCTATACAATATCCAAAAAATTAATTAAACAAATTTTACTATAGAATTATTAGTGTACCATTTGAGATGACAAGGAATATCAGTGGTAATGATTAGTGTTATTGTAGCACTGGCTGTAACCTTCTAGCAATAATATAAACATGAATTGTCCTTCTGTCTGAGAATATTTGGAGTGCGACAGTAATACTTGTACTACTTCACTCCATAAGATTCAGTGCCTTTCTAAGTGGTCGAGGAAGGCAGTACAGTTGACTATGGACTCACTACTATTAACATCTTTTGTTATTATTGTTGTTTTTGATGTTACTTTTCTGTGTTCAGTGAACCAGTGATGCTGACACTGTTCAATCTAGTAGGCTAAATTTTCCTCCTGCGTAGATCTTCAATAAAAAAAATAAGTCTCTAAAGCTTAATATTAAAACCACAACTGACACAATAGAGTGACTTGATCAAAAACAGTGTACAAACTCAAAAGCCTCTCCAGAGACAATGGCTGTACAGAAATATGAAATCCTTTTGAATTTGTATGGAAAACTTTATTTGATAATAAAAATAGCATTCACAGACTTCTTTTGATAGCTACATATACATTGTAATCCATCTCAAGGAAAGAAGCTGGATAAGTCCACATCTACTTGTACTTAGACTAATGTTATGTATAGCTTCATGGGTCAAATAAAGCTATGAACAATGTAGTATTTATATATGCATAGTTTTATAAAAAAGGTTGGCCCATATACATGTACTGCTTTTATCAACACAGAGACAGCATTATGTCGGAGCACATTGCAAGAACTAATGCTTGAAGAACACAGACTGCATACAAGTGCTTTATAATACAAAGGCAGGCTAACCATCAAGAGAGATTCAAACCATCAAAGAGTTTCTGATTGACCAAATACAGTCTTTCATTTTAAAATGTCTTTACATACCTGATCCAGAGTAAATCAACATATTTCCCATAAATCATCAGGTCCATTTCAGAGATATAAACACAATATCACATTCCTCACTGAAGAGGTTTTTCATAAATTTCTCTTTTGTACAAGAAAAAGGCAACATTTTATTCCTTGACAGGTTCCTAATAGTTAAAATTCTTTACAGGTGATGGCCAACAGGTTAACTTCTTAAGTGTGTTTGTTTTTTTTTCTTCTAGTTTTTTGTTAATACAGTACCATGGCGACAGTGATCAAACAATGCATTTGTTGTGGTTTATCCAATATATTTTTAGTTCTCTAATGAAACATAAAACGGAATACACACAAAACACATTATAAAGCAGCAGTCAGACTCCAGTGGCGTGACGGCATGGCTCAGCATGGCAGATTGGTCGTCTCCTGTGCCGGGACTCTCAATTTATCACCAACACAACAAACCACATCAGCTCCAGGACCCAAGAGGTGGTCAGTGCGCAAACGTAGGTATCATCAACATAAGGACAGGACTCAACAATTACCGTGGGATTACAGTGCATGTTCCTTATGGATTATTTTTTGCTCAGACCTATCATATAAAGTGGTTAAACTACACTTAGATTTACACATGCATCTTGCACAGGGATAATTTATACATTAGTTTGTTTTAAACTTTTTTTTTTTTTGCCGTATGTGAAAAATCATATTTTATGGCAGCTTCAAGCTGGTATTTGGGAATAATGCAGACTCATCTAAAGTACTACATTGAAATTTTGATGAGCAACAAATTTAATTAACACTCATTTTCCCGCACCAGAGAGTCTACCAAAACAGTTTTGCCTGTAGTTGAAAGTGACTCGGGTTTCTTTCCCACTACATTAGTACACACTGAGGAACAAAGGGCCAGAATATTCAAGTAACATTAGTTGCCTAATTTTCTTAATTTCAGTAGTGTGTTGGTGTATTTAGGCAAAGGAGGGTGAGCTGCCGGTGTCACACATTTCAAGGATGCAACACAAGTAAGGGTACAGCATGCTTTCCCAGGTACAATGTGCACTTCTACCTTGGTCCTTAAAGATTTAATGACGCTTGCTCAAGATATGTGCCAAATTATAAATAAATAGTGAGCAGATGCAAAAAAGTCATATATTATTTATATAATCACTCTACTTTTACCATCTGATCCTAAATTTAGATTTTTGCCTTAAGTCCAACGTGACTTTCACAGTTCTTGTGACCCATCAGTGTTTTGTGCTATAGTTTGTTCAGTAAAGCAATTCAGGAATGGAGAAGACACTAAAAACAAGTTGAAAACAAGCTTAGTAGTTAGAAGTTACCACAACCGGAAGCATGTTTCATACCTCTGAGGGAACAAATATTTAGATTCAGCAATGCCTACAAAAAGCAATATCACTGATTTTAAATGCAGGCACATACAATACCTTTACTATAGTACAACAACTTCTGTTATGTTCAAAATAACTATAACAATGACAACCAGTATGAACTGATAGAAGGATTGTACTCCTGCTGTTTTATGAATCTCTGGATGGGATCACAAGTAGTTAAGTCAATCAAATTCATGAATAAACCAGTCGACCAAATAAAGCACAAGAGTTGGTATCCTCCGAAGTCCAATTCCAGTGTATGGTACATAGTTTGCACAGATAGAGGAGAGAGTGGCGAGGGGGATCTCTGCTCTGCTCTAGATGCTGAGGTCTTTGGGGCTTTCTTTGTACAGCCTTCTCTTGGGCTCAGGGAGCTGGTTTGGGCTGTGGCCGGCTGCGTTTTTGTTATGGCCTGTGTTGTTGTAGGCAACATTGTTGGTTGCAGCATTGTTCTTCATCATGCTGTAGTAGTCCTTCAGTCTGGGTGCTGCTGCATAGTTCAGCTCGTCCCGGCTGTAGTTGCTGTCAGGGGAAGAGTCCCGCTCCACTCTGTATCGCCTCTCGGGTGTCCCGTTCATCCGATATCTCTCCTCCATCCTCTCTGAGGAAGAGTCTCTCAAGAGGTTGCCGTTCTTTGTGGCCCTATCATATGTACGGCCCCTGGAAAGAGACAAGGAATCTCCATTGTTGTTGGTGCGCTCGGGGGTTGTGGCCTCCCTGACTCGCCCAGCCATCTGTGAGTCCTTGAGGAGCCGGCGCTCATAGAACTTGTGTTCAGGGGTGACTGCGAGGAACCCTCCATCATCGTACTCCCTCTCAGGTGTACGGTCCCGATTGCCTCGCCCTGCCCTGCGGTCCATCGACTTGGCCCGCCGGCGATCAGGAGACGAGGTGCACTTTCGGGTTGGTGAGCGGTCAAGGGAGCCGCGGCGCTGCAAGCAAAACCTCCCGTCCAGAGTAGAACTGCTGCTTGAGAGCTCTTGCCCCCTCAGTTTCTCAGTAGCTGCAGCCTTCTTCCCCGAGCTGTCTTTCCTCAGAGTCTTTAGGAGTTTAGAGATGCCGCTCTCCGACTCGGACTTCTTGACTTTGCGGCCTCGGCTCTTCTTGTTGCCACTGCTACTGCTGTTACTGTTGTCTGGAGACTGCTCTCTGGGGGTACTTTGACTGTGATTGTTATTCCAGGTGTGATGATGGTGGGGGTTAAATTGCCGGCCTTGGTAGTCCATCTGATCTGATGCAGCCCTGTCCCTTTCTCGGCCACGCACAGCCTCCTCCTGGCGTGATGGTTTGTGAAGGTCTGGTGGATAACTGGACTCCAATGAGGTGTAATATCGGCTGTTAGGTGGCAGCGTTCTCACTTCCGGAGTGTTTTGTGCCCCGGGCGTGGGAGGGTGCCCGTCACTGCTGCCGTCTGCAGGAGAGGAGAAAGGAGGAGAAGCTTGATGACTAGAAATACCTTTATAGGAGGAATTAGGTTGAATAATACTTTAATAAAAAGTGACATTTATTGCAGACATGTATTTCCTTGTTCCTTGTGAGCTCTTGCATTGACATGACAGAAAGTCAATGCAGAGATTTATGGAAATCATGCATACATGTGCTCTTTTATATGGTGTGTGTGTGTATATGTGTGTTTATGTATGTATGTATGTATGTATCTCCCCAGAAACAATCAGGCTAATCTAAACTGATGTGTAACATTCTATTTTACATCTATAAACATAAGAGACATTGAAGTGATAAATCACTTCAATGTACATTGTGTTTTCTCTGTAGGGCTGTGGGTTGAATCACAAGGTGATGTCAGCAACAACAGCAGGCAAGTGTAGGGCAGGGGTTATCAATGACACGGCAGGCACCTAGGAAATCATTCCAAACAAAATGGCGAACAGCTCAATGTGCATCATTGGGAAGAACAAACCAAAAGGGAAAAAAACAAAAAACAAGAGTTTGGCTGCAGGTCTGCCAAATTAGAGACAGGTTGCTATGGCAGCAGCATGTGATGAGCAGTGGCATTAAATTAGTCCCAGTAAAAATATCTGGTGTGGGGCTGACAGAGGGGTAGGGTTTGTGTGTGTGTGTACGGATTCACTGAAGTTAAATTAAGTAAAGTTTAATCCAGGCACAACAAAACATAAAGCATGCACACGATTTAAAGAAACCCGCGCGCAAACACACACAAAGTGGGGTTCAGGTAGGGATGAGCTGAAAGGAAGGGTGGATAAAATTGAAAGGAAAAAAATGACAGGGAGAGGGGGATAGGGACAGACTTTTGGCTACAAACCGTGGTCTGATTTTGGCCCATTAGGTAGAAACAGGGCTCTCCCATCTTGTCATTCCTCATTGTACCAACAGCGAGATGAGGAGCCATCATCGCTGGAGAGAGGAGGAAGAGCCCAGCGACACGAGACAATCAGAAAGAAAGGAGGAGGAATAGAGAGGAGAAAACAAATAAAACAGACAAGAGGCTGTTTTACAGTGCATCTTAATAGAGAAAAGAAGGGGTTTGTTGTGAAAGACAAGACAATATTACACTTTGAAAACCCATTTGAGTGGGGGAAAAGAGACAAAATTAACCCCCAGACAAACCAGAAGAAAATGGTGAGAAATACAACAATATGACTCAAACTGTGAGAGGACTAATCCATCAGCAGAGCATACAGCTCTTGGGAGGGAATATTACTTCACCTGTAAAATATCTATACTACAGATCCTATAGAGCATAAATCAACAAACAGGCTTTTGTGGCAAACATTCCTTCATTGATCAATAATATTTGACAGCTCAATCTTGTGCTGGAACTATGACAGGTCGCTTTAAATTAATGGATCAGAAAGTCTTTCTGTTAAACATAAATCCTTCACAGTAATAATATTCACAACAGTCTATTTTTAAAAAGTGCAAATGTCCCTTTGGTGCACTAAGCAGATAATAAGATATATTGGTGTGTATAGCTGGAACAATAAGAAGATTTCAATGCTGGTATCAGCAGTGTTATTTACAGGTAAAGTGTTTACCTACCATATTCAGGTACAGATCCATCCCCCCGTTTCAGGACGAGCCGCGCCCTCCGACCACCGTTCTTGATCAGTTCTATGGCACGTGAATGCTTCATGTTTTTTGTGCTCTCACCATTAATCTCCAGGATCTCATCTCCGACCTAAAACAGACAGGCCAAGTTATTGTCATAGTTAGCTAATGATAGTGTTTAATCAGTGTGCAATGAAGAAATTTGGCCATTTCCACAAGATGTATAGAAGAAAGAGAGACAAATTCAGATTATAATGGTTTTGTACCCTCATCTTGCCATTTCTGACAGCAGCTCCATCCTCCGCTAGTCTCAACACATACAGGTCCATGTTGTACTCCCGTCCTCCTCTCAGGCTGAAGCCAAAACCTTTACTGTCCCGCTCGAGGTCTACAGAGTAGAACTCTGCATCCTATGAGACAGAAAAGGAGAGATAAAGAGAAAGTCACAGAGAGACAAGGGAGGAGGAGTGACTAATCCATGGTGCACAGGGGAGTCAAAAGGTGAGTCCAAATTTCAGGACTAATCAAGCCATGTCCCACAGAAACTCACAAAATGTCAATGGCAGTACAATACCCTAGAAAGCATGAATAATTAATGCCACATGAGCCTGTGTGCAGTGTACAGATCACTAAGCAAGGGCACCACAAGGGCTGGACCCGAAACTTACCATAATCATCAAAAGTTCCCTCCAAAGAGAAGTATCGTCTCTCCCCAAATAATTTTCTCTGGCACTTACAGATCGAAAGCTTCATAATCAAAACTACTCACTGATTTCAATGTCAGATTTTACTGATATTTTTCAGTATAAAATAAAATTGGTGGGAATGCAGTGATTTGTGTGTGAGACAGCCCAATAAAGACATTAATCAAACATCTGACTTTGTGTGTGAAAGAATTGTCTTTAAAATGTCAAGAACAAGTAGGACGCTACAGGCACTGTATGTGCAAACTTAATCTTAATTTGTGGGAGTATTTACTGCTTCCTGATTTATGGCCCCTTTTTCGTCTGGTAAACACTGGTTATATCAGTTGCAACGGGACTGAGCTTCTCGAAAGCTATTATGATGTCCAGTTTCCCATCTCTTGTATAAAGGTGCGCCACTAGGCCTACTTAGCAACTCCGATAAAAAAGGTTTTATGATCAGCAGCTTTCCCCTGTTTATTGCTGTAGTATGTATCATGCAACATGAGTGATAGTTGGTAACTGATGTAATGATGTAAACCCACAAGGTCATTAACTGTGGAGTGAAAACACCTATTCTTACCTGTGTTGTCTGACATTGTGTGGGTGGAGGAGGAGGAGCTCCTTTTGACTTTGAATTATTCCTTAAAAAAGAAACCCATATGAATTATTGTGCTGTATTAAATAATATATTCTAGAAAGACACGCATTGCATGCATTCATGCAAATTTTAAGAAACTGGTGATCATCAACCTACCGGGACTCTGTGGACTGTTGAGGTGTGTGTGTGGTGGTGATGGTAGCTATCTTCTCAGCATTAGTCAGCAGAGAAGCATTGGAAGATTCTGGAAAGAAACAGAAAAATAAGATTAAACTATAAAGTGACTGCTTTTGTTAAATGTATTTGCCCACAGCCATGTTTTCAAAAAGACACACTGGAGAACAAAATGTTACTATCCAGAAGAGTCAGCTGAACCACCCACAGGCTACTCTATTCAACCTGATCCTAACTGCCTGTGATGTTGTCATTTGCCATTTGGTCATGGACAACACTGGCCCCAACTGCACAAAAGAAAAGCAGCAGTAAAGGGGGGGAAAAGAAGAACAACTTTTCATCTGCCTGTCCAGGAGGTGGGGAGGATACAAGGACAACTGTCTTGTCTTGTCTTTCTTCAGTTCCATCTTATCACCAGCAAAAACAACGCTGCACACATTATTTTCCAGTGACACTGGCAGGAGTACAGCTCTGTCTGTGTTTAGTAAGAACATCAGCCTGACTCATACTTCTCAGGCTCCTTACTCACTCTCCCCTTATTACTCAAAGAAGTATGACTTCCTCACGGCCACCTCTCTGTCTTTCCAAGGTGAACGTTTTCTGTAGCCACAAACGTCTTTAATGATATTTGAAGTGAGACCAACAAATGCCTTCATTCCCATATTACAAGGCCATGTCATGTTTTCTACGAGCAAGCCTTGCATCATGCACACACAACCCTGTGAGATACTGAACATGTGTGTGTGGGAGTTATTTCCCACCTCTCTCACCTCCAGTCTTAATTAAGCTTCATCTTCTGTCTCTATGGAGGGTATTACAGCAGAGCATTGCTCAGTGTTTTCACTGGTTGACCAGTAGCTCAGCCTGTAACAAGCACCCTTATTATAGCACTTGCCATATTTTACCCACTTGCAAACTGCTTGAGCTGCAATATGATGCAGTTCTATTTCCTTTCCTAAACTAAGCTGAAGTGACAGGAAGCACTCTATTAAATGTGAGCAGTGTTGCTAATCCTTTCAAGCTGAAAAAATATTGCAAATTATAAGACACCCGGTGAAGAAAATAAACAAAAAGCAGAAAGAGAGCGAAGGAATTGTTGAGCTACAGTAGTTTTCCGGGGGCAACTTCACCTTACTCCTACTCAATGACTCACTCTCCGAGATACCAGGGTTCACACCCTGACAAAGAGTGCTCTTGCCTGGGAAGATCAGCAGTGCCCTTTCCTTCCCACCCCATCCATGAATAAGTCACATAATGCTGCATTATGAAACAGCCATGTGAGGCTTTGAGCCAAAAGCCTTACCATCACCCGGGATAATCCTGAGCGAGACTGTATTCCCGGCTTCCTTGATCAGGTTGACGATGTCAGAGTGTGACTTGTTGGTGATGGAGCAGCAGTTAACAGCCAGTATCCGGTCCCCTACTTTCAGCTTCCCGCAGCGGTCCGCCGGGCTGCCCTCGATGATGCGTCCTATTTTGTGGGGCATGGCCACACAAGCATTTCCAGCTTTTGTGTTAACATACATGTATGTTTGTTTTTTGTGCATGTATATTGCGTGTGTTTTGAAATAGTGTGTGATTGATTGGGTTGATTGGTTATATTGATTTATATTTTTTAAAGGAAAAGATTGAAAGAAAACAGGGAGAAAGAGACGAAAAGAAAGGTTAATTATCCAAAATTACCACATCCCGGTTCACCCACAGAAAACCATTAAGATGCATACATCCCAAGTTAACATATGGCAATCAGTGCACATGCAAAATACTAGATCAAAAAGCTTGAAAAAAAACAAAAAACAGCCTATCAGTACACTGGTCATAGCATCATGACAGCACCTCCCTACCAGGGATCAATGAGCACACAATAGCTGCTGCAGAGTAAGATGTTCAGGTAATTCACCTGTGTGATCTTGACCAGCTCAGAAATTGATATGGATTCCAAAAGGGGTGCACTCTGGGGTGAGATGTGCAGCCTGTAGCCTATATATGGCTCTAGTCATGTGGTCAATGAAAGCACTGCAAGAAATACAATCTGCAGCTGAGTGACAGCATTCAACACCACACATTTTGTTTACACCGAAGCTCTGAATAGACCCTGGGGATTTCCAGTTCTCTGTCTATCATCCCATCATCTCACTCTGCTCCCCCCGCCACCATGCTCTCCCTTCCCCCCATATTTTTGCATCTCACGTCGCAGCTGCCCTCGACTTCGTCTAGATTGAAAAACAACCTTGTATCCTCCTGTCATTCTATCTAAATGAGATGTGGGGCATTATTACAGTGTGTGGCACATAACCAGGATTTAATACCCAATCTGCTAAGCACAACACTAACCTCAGGTCACTGTAGGAAGGGATGAGAAGGGGTGTGGGCCCTGCTGGACTAAAGCAAAATGGTTAAAGATCCATAATGTAAAGGGTACTGACAAACATCTAGCACTCCTGAAAGATTCCTCAGAGCCATGTCTGTTTATTTTATTTAGAAATACACTTTCCTCCGTCATATGATAGCTCATGTCCCACATGGTTGGAATCCATTAGGAGAGTGAGCGCAGGATGCTACAGTACGATCCCAGATCAGCACATGAAAGCACAAAGTCCATTCATCTCATCATCCCAAGGGGAATAGTGACAGAGCAGAGCAGGGAAGCGCAGTGAGGCAACAGCACAAACAGGAACCTCAAAAGACTACAAGACGTTTAGACAAGGTTGTTGACTAGCACTGTCACTGGTGCCACTAAAAATAACACATTAATTCTTGCATTGAGTTTTGAACAGCAACACCATTAGCCCATGGGATCCCTGGGCAGTCAGTGTGGCTGAAGTCCCGTCCATTCTTGTGTTTTGCCTGTGACACACCGCAGTACATCATCATAATGGCTAACTATACAAGAGACCTTGGCATGACATTGGTGTTAGAAATTCATCACTCTGAGGTTAATATCAAATTTGTTTGAGGGGGACATCTACAATTCCTCATCAATGCCCGAGCAACTTTAATACATGCAATTCTCCTGTTTTGCCGTGATGCGTAAATGGTATAGACAGCAATGGAGTATGCTGGAGTAGACTTCAATTACATGCTGAATGAATTTGTGAGGGCAGCTGTGAGGCATGAATCTGTGATGATGGTGTTTGTGATAAAGCTGCAGCCAGCCCGATCCTGAGGGAGTGCACTCTGCACATGAAGAGATTTCTTTATCCCTAAGCTGATGGTAGGTTTGTGACCTCGGTCTGTGGCAGTATGCGCAGTCCTGTCAAACTCGCCATCTATTCATAAAGTGGAGGACACTCACTGAGGAGTAACAGTAAAAATATCGTAATTGTGCCAGGAGATGGCATCAGTCATTTCACTCAGTGGTTCCTTTAAACTCTCTGTGGATCTGTCTCTTGGAGGCTGGAGGTATCTATAAAATACTGGAGATGTTTCATGCATCAACTCTCAGGTTTTTGTTAGATCAACTTGATCGGGGTATCTGCGGGCCTTGAAGGTATTAAAAAGTACTAAATATTTTATTTTTGCTGTCATAGGCTGTACAATGTAAAATGTTTTTGTAGCTGACTTGTCGGGAGACTTTAACCTAAAGTCAGCCCAATTGGACCCTACAGCAAGCGCTATCACTACTGCTAGCTACTGTAGCTCGCGCGGTCATCATCTCACAGATGGGCAATACTGGTTTTATCTTATACATTTATACTTTAAACAGAATGATTGTGAAACAGGTATTAAGTTGCATTCTATGTTATATTGAAAAGGTCTTAAAAGATCTTAACTTGGTGAACCCTAAAGAAAACCAATTAAACGGGTATAGTTTAAAATTGTTATCGTCGGTGCCATGTGGTAACCTCTGAAGAATATTATTTTGAGACCAAAATATTGTTCTGTTTTGAAGTTATTTGAGCATGGTGCTCACAGTCGGAGAGTAAAGTCATCAAAGAGATCTTCAGAAAAACTCTTTTCATGTAACGTGCACCAAGTCTAAGTAAGTCTAAATTGAACCATGTTGAAGTCAAACAGAGTAAATAAAATAATTTCTCATGTCAAACTGAACAGAAGTCCCTGTCAGTCTCAGCTAGTTCCAGCACAGTCTGTCTCACTTACCAAAGGTAGTGCCAGCGTCAGGCCTTGAGACGGACGACACAATGACGAAACCGAAGCCCTCGTTCTCTCCTCGCTGGATCTCCACATCGTATGGCTGCAGGGAGGCGGGCACAACCGCACTCCCACTGCCACCTCCGCCGCCGCTGCCTATGCCGCTGGTAGATCCGCTGCCAGAGCTGACGGTGTTGAGAGAGTTCTGGCTGCCCTGGGGGGTCCGCTTGCCCTCCGTCAGGCTGGGGGCCTGGGTGCTGCTGTGGTGGGAGGAGGCCGGCGACGGGGGAACGTCTCCTTCCCCTTTTGACACTGTGGATGAAGAGAAAGAGGACGGCCTGGTAAGACAAGTATTACTTGTGCATTACTTTAACTTTAGATTCAAGTATTCAACCTATCTTTAACCTTGGAAAGCCTGCAGGGAAGAGCGAGCAGTGTGCATTGTGTTTAAACAACACGCGTGTATGAATACACATTCGCACGTTTTATGTAAAACTCTCATCACCTGGATATCCGGGGGTCTTGCGTCTGACTGTGAGGTTGACATGGCCCTGTTTGGCGGCCTGCTGCATCAGCTGCACCACCAGCTGGTGAGACTTGCCCACCACCGCCGTGCCGTCCACACAGATGAGCTCATCACCCGACCGCAGGCGCCCATCCTCATCTGCTGCCCCGTACTTTACTATGTGCCCTATGTAGATCTGGAAAAGGCAAGCACACAATGTATAATGTAACGTATTACTGACGTTAAATCACACTGTATTCATCGTGTCGCCTATCAACAGTGACATGAATACAGTAGCCTTATTTATTATGTACAGTACTATGGCTAATTGAGTCATTAAACTGTAGTAAATTAAAACACCAGCCAAGAGAGAGCGCAATGACTCATTGTGACTTATCTCCTTCTGATTTTAAATCAATCTTTTATACAGCAGAGTTTTGAAGTCTATTGTTGCATTACTTTGAAGGTATTTGTGGCTGGCGTTCAGAGAAACCAAGAAGGCCAATGCAGCCTATTGAGGCCACGGAGATGCTTGTGTGCTTTAGGCTTTGTGTGGGAGTATAAACACAGCTCTGACAGAAACAAGCGCACAACTACCACCCAACATTTTTGGCACAAACAACAAGCACTAACTCCAGTGGGGTAGACCTTAAGTCTGCTGCCATTTTATTTCCCTCTATTCCTCAATATCTGCCTTCCACTCTCCCTCTTACTCCTTCCTTTTAAGACAAATATATGGCACACAACCAGAGGGATTGTGGGTAAGGCCTTTACTTCTCTTAACAAGCTGTCTATGTGATCCTCAAGGGAGCAGCAGCACCAGTTAGAGAGTGATGTGTTAGGACTTTCTGCTGCTCTGGTTTAAAGGCAGACTAGACAGTAAAGCAGGAGCAAATAAAAAGACAGAACAGAGAACCTCATGTAGACATGGGAAGCATACTAAGAAAAAGGACAAAGCATTCAGAGAGATAAAATGATCATCAATAGTAAGGATGGGGTGTATGAGTGTAAGTCTTTTAATTCATCAGCTGTTTTGATATACTCTTGGGATTCACAGGTGGAGGGATACTTACAGGCTCACCAGGCTCATTTCCTCCCAGGATACGGAAGCCGAAGCCTGTATCCTTCCGCCAAAGGAAAATGTCTTGCTCCTGGCAATCTGGCACTGAAATAGTGAGAAACAGTGAGAGGACTCCATGGTGGTTGACCATCAAATCCGCGAAAGACCCACAGGCTCTGCTCAGCGATGACCGATTAAAATCTATGTACAGGCCCATCACTGAAAGCTTGTTGCTCTAATCAACAAGTTATGTCTCCCAGTTTGTCCAATTATGGCAAATCCACGCCCAGCTGTGTAATCGCTGCTCAGTAAGGTGTTTGTTTTTCTTTTAGCGTCAGAATGAGAGCAGGCATGATTGGCAACTGCTCCTTCCCTCCCCTCGCCCATGCCTCGTTGAGCAGACTGGCTCCTTGTTCACATACGTTAGACGACAAACTCGACTGCAAAGTCTCATGCTGTGACCTCATTGTACTTGCAGACCTGCTGTCTGAAAAGTTACTCAATGGTGGTCCTATTATTAGCCCCTATTTATAACTGAAACTTTCTTACACATGTGGATTTGTAGCCTCACTTGCGCCTATTTCTCTCCTGCAGTCCATTGCACGCACGCACTTTTGCATATCACCATGGACAGAGCAGACTGCAGAGGAGGACACAGGCAACATGGTGTCAGTCTGTTCAACCCACAGGGCCAGTCCGCACAGGAGGCACAGGCCATTCCTCCTGCTGTCTAAAACTGCTGCCACGCAAGGCCAGTAGTGAACCCATTAGCTTCAGCTCTCAGGTTCCCTCCAAACAATGTGCTTGGTGTGAATTAAACTTGCTTGCCTTGTAATTAACACTTTGCTTAAGCTCAACGTAAACTAACAGAAAGTACGGCTGTGTGTCACATCAAGCGACAGGTGACATGAAGCTTTGATTGGAGCAAAATTCCCAAAAGCTCACATTTCAGTCACACTGCCACTGAAGTATTACCCTTGTGGTGCACTCAGTGGATGCGTGAAATCATCTACTCACAAATTCAAGAGTGAGCACTTGCATGTGGCAGCATGCACATGAATACATTTGAAAATACAGAGAATCTGGGCCTTTTTGTCATTCTTTGTCTCCTTCTCTCTTGTTTCATTGTGTCTCCCCTTCCTCCCCTGCTGACTTAAAAAAGGGGCTGCAGCTCCTTCAGGGGTTATCAAACAGATATACCAATCAGCTGCAGCTTAAAGCAGCCCTCTCCGGGCCCAGTTAATATTTAATCAGCAGCAGTCCTAGATTCTACAGGCAGCCATGATTATTAACCAACACTGCAATACACGTCTGCCCTGTCATAGACATCACTCCTCTATAATCACAAAGCAACCTTTTGAGTATTGAGTATATTTCACAGCATATACAGACCTAGTCTCCCTTTTAAATATCACCACCAGTACAAGTACAGGAGGTCTGAAAGATGTAATTCAGCCAGAACAGTTGAGTGAACCTATTATTTCCGAGGAATCTTCCCCCTTTCTCACAGTTTCTTATATTAGAAACAGAAACTAAATGGTTTGACACCCTTACAGTGTTTCCCCATGAATAATGCAAGAATAGGCCATGACTGCAAATGATACTGAGGAGTCTCACCGAGAGGCTGCCTACTCTCTGGTGTTCCAGTTTTTGGATTTTGGATCCTCTGTTTTTCCAGTGACTAAACAGGGCGCGAGACAAGCTGTTTTAGCTTCTGATAATGTGAGTGTGGTCAGTTTTTAAATGTGGTTTAAAAGGTGAAGTGTGCCACACCATTGCTGGCATTAAAAGACCCAGAAAGACAGATATGTGTCCTGTGGTGATCATACTGTGTTCTCAGCTGTGATTCTTGTACTCTTTTGCACAATTGGAAGAAATACATTTGCTAATGCACTATAAGCAAAGCATGCAGAGATGTTTCCAAGGCGTGTTTTCACTTCTAACTCAGCGGAGATCATTTTTAAAAGCTCCACCCATCAGTTATCTGTTGAATCATATTTTTCCTCCATTTGACCTCCATGTTTAATCCCAAAATCATACAGAAGGCCTTTTGATTAACACTGAACTCAAAGTAATTTAGAAAAATGCTTGATAGAAAAGCAGAAGAAATAATAAAATAATATGAAATAAAAATAAAAGTACACATGGCAAAGACCAGGAAAAGATTTTATTAAGGAATAATATAAGGGTTAGGCTTTCTACAAATTTCATGGCTGTCTGTGAAATATGAAGTTACAGTCAGGTTAGTTTAGCTTAGCATAAAGACTAGAAACAGCTAGCCTGGCTCTGTCAGAAGATAACAAAACCCACCCACCAGCACTTCTAAAGCAAGAAAGTCTGCACATGACCCCCCGCAAAATGGCAGATGCTGTTTTAACGGTTACTGTCTGAAATAAACATACGAGATGTGTTAATTAGTGAGCTTGAGAGGTTAGGCGGACTTTGTTACTTTGGATAGAGCCAGGCTAGCTGTTTCCTTCAGTTTTCAGTCTTTATGCAGGACTAAACTAATCAGCAGCTGGCTGTAGCTTCATATTTACCATACAAACATTAACAGTGGTATCAATGACCTCATATAACTCCTTTTAAATCATTACATAAAAGCCAAATGTGTGATAATAGCCCCAGATCATTTGCCATTCATCCTTATAAGAGATTAAAATGTCTATAATATCACTAGAGGATAAACATTGCCCATTTAAACTTTCAAATCCTAAAATAAGTTAATAAGAGAAGAAGTGAATTCTACTCACGTCGGCTCTCATACATGCTCCTCGACTGTGCCCATATCTTAAAGGGGTCTGGCTTCTTCTGGAGGGTGAGGTTGCCATCTGCGGGGTCCTGAGGGGGCAGGCCCGGCAGAGGCTGGGTGGGAGCAGCAGGAGTGGGAACCACAGCCTCACTGGGCATGACAGAGGGTGGGTGGCTGGGAGAATCGGTGTGGGTGCTGCGATGGCTGCACACACTGTGCTGTGAGCTACTCTGGCTGTCTTTCCGCTCTAACTGGTGCTGGATGGACAGAAAGCAGAGAGTGAGGTGTGTGTGTGTGTGTGTGTGTGTGTGTGTGTGTAAGGAAATGGGGGTGGATATAAGCAGAGGATGGAGGTAGAGGGCAGAGAGAGGAGGAAAAAAAGTGAGAGTGATAAGTGAGTCAGTGATAAGGGCGAGATACAGAGGAAAAGAGATGTGTGAGAAAGTGTTGATGGAGGACAAAGAGAAAAAGTGTCCAAGGTCATCTTTTTTAAACATTGCAGCAGAACATCTCTCAATAAAAATGCCTGCTGGAGTGTGAGGAAAAATTACTAGGTTTCCATGGTTGCGAGACAAAGACAGATTGAAATGTGAGGGAATTTTAATGAATGAACAAAGAATATTGGCTTTTATGAATCCCACGGTTCTGTGTTAGTGCAGAAGGTCCTATGCGTGGAAACCTATGCACAGAATCAAGGTTAGTCCCAACTGAAACCTTTCAAATCTGGCATGAAAGCAAACTGACTTAACAACAGAGAAGAATCCTGATGGGTTGGAGAGAAGTTTGTGAGTGTGTCATTGCTACTCAGTTAAATTCAGTTAAATTAATTGGCACAATAAAGACACTTAAAATATTCAGTGTTAATTTTGCGTATTAGCAGATGGACTTTGGCTCTGCGTCAAAAATCGTAGCCTACTCCATCATTTGAATGAGCAATTCAAAGTGACATCATCCGGCAAAACGCTGTAGTGGCCAATCAAATCCTGGTAGATTCCTTTGTAATGTGAACACCACATTTCTACTGTTTACCTTATAATGGTCCCAACGAAAGATATAATAACTGCTGCCGTGTTAACTTTCCAGAGTTGTAAAATCCTGTTACAGAATACTTTTGCCGCTTCAAATTTCAATGTCGTTTCATCGTTTTTCATTGTGTCAGCGATGCCTGAAGCAACACATCCACACCAACAAAGCCCCTTGGGTTGTTTTAACACAGGGCTGTTTTTGGTCTGAACACCCGCTTAGACAATATAATTTTTCACAGCCTGTTATCGTGCTGCTAGGCGCCTTATGTTTTTTTCTGTAATCTCTGTGTTCTGATTCTGCAACCAGAGAATGTCCATATTATAACGTTATTATTTGCGGATGCAATACGCAAAACAGCTTTATGAAGAACAAGCCTTACTGAGAAAATGCAATTACTGACTGTGAAAAGGAGCAAATATGACAACTAAATCATTTTTTTATCTGATGTAAATAATGTTCATGAAAAGGTAGAGAAGTCATTGCACAGTCTTGCAGTCTCACCACACTGCACGAGATGAAGGGTCAAAGATTCCAGTTATGCTTCTTAATGAGGCAATAGCCGGGCAAAATTTACTTCTCATTTGATCACAGAGACTTGCTTAATGGGTTGGGACAGCACAGTCTCCTGCAAATTGGGAGTTTACTGTGAGCATTTTTAGACTCTGAACTGGAGGCAAAATGGTTGTTCTGGGCTGACACAAAGTCGCATGCAGCGTGACATTTCACTGACATAACACAGAGGGGGGAAAACTGGCTTTTCCTCACTGGAAAGCTAATCCAAAGTGACACTCAGGCAGGGCGACTATTGGTCCTGGTCAACCCCCTTACAGCGCCCACCCCTCCTCCATCCGCTGTGCAATGTGACCTGAGTAGGTAACACCCACAGCCCTGATTGATACCATTTCAAACAAATCCTAATTCTAATATCCAGCCATCTGAAGGGAGGTATTTTGGTGCTGATCAATAGGAACGGGACACGTTTTTTCTTCCACTCAAGTGGTGGGAATTGAACCTATCACTGTCCTTGGATGAGCCTGTCCAGAGGAAATGTCCTTCTACTATAAGTCAGAAGCTCTCCAGGGGTGAATTAGGGTGACAGTAATTTAAAGCTGCACTGGCGTCTCTTCTGAGTTGTATTGATTTTTTATTTTTTTTTACCAGGTTGAGATGAATCGTAAAAATGAGGAGGCGTTAAAACTCCTGAATAACTGCAATGTCCCTCAAGAGACCCTTGGCTGCTCACGGAACTGGTCTTTCTGCCTCTTTCAACCCTCTTCCCCCCGTCCTCTTATCCTCCACAACTACGAGTTACACTGCAATCTGTTGCAATCTCTTCTCTAGCTTCCCCGATCTCCCCTTGCTTTGCTTCCAACTCACTCTGTCGTCATTGCCCCCTTCTCCCTGTCTGTTAGCCTCAGTGCATCCTCTGTATATGTGGGCTACTTAGACTGTGGGCTATCATCGTGATTCACTGTTATGGGACAAACCCATCCTCACACTGGTCTTCCCTTCCTTCATCCACATCCCTTTTCCCCCCTATCTTTGCTCCATGCCTCTCTCCCATCTTCCCTCAGCTGTGGCTGTCTGCCCTCCCCAACAGCTGGTCACTGTTACACTGCTCTGCCTAGGCTATGCTTAATCAGTCACAGGACGGCAGCGTGGCAGGAGTGGAGGGATGTAGAGAAAGCGAGAGAGGATGTGAAACAAAGAGACATGACAACACAGAGGCAAAAAAAAGCAAGAGGAGGAAAACAACAAAAGAAGCTAAAGTCAAAGTGGCAGACTGAGAAAGAAGTAAAGAAGAAAGAAGATTTATGAAGCTCTGGATGCAGAACAGTAAAGCAAGAGTTAGATATCATATCTCTGTGTCTTTTGGTCTTTAAATAGCGTTCCTTTCACGCAGTGGAGCTGACATGCACACACACAAAAGAGCTGAAGATCACAGTACTCACCACCAGCTTTGGACTCCTCTTGGCTGGCACCACTCCTGCAAAACATCGGCAGAGAGACAGAGAGAGCATCAATGACCTGCGGTGCTCTTCACTTGTCCCCTCTGAACTAAAAACTCCCCAGGACGAACTGATGGACCCTGGTTCCTGATGCAGAGCGCAACTGGCCCAGCTTGCTCTCTCTCCTCCTCCTCCTCCTCCTCCTCCTCCTCCTCCTCCTCCTCCTCTCTGTTGCTTTCTCTCTCTGAGCAACACGCTGCGCTAGGCTGCTCGCGATTCTAAGTGATCTCCTCCCCCTGTGCTGTACCACGCTCCACTCAGTGCTCTCACCCGTGCTATTAGAAGAGCAGCAAATGATCTATCTGCATTAGACAGGTTGACTTATGCTGCAGCAGCCCTGGACTGCTGGTCCAAGCCACAGGTACAAGCATCCACAGACCCCCCCCCCACCCCAGCTCCCCTTCCAGTCTGCTTGCCTGCTGTCTCCAACACGAGCTCTCCAGCAGAATCTCAACTATTAACCACTGATAAGGAGTTGAGCAGCTTGAGCATCATATCAAAGGAAGTCCTTAGCTTCTGCCTTACTATGCACATCTTCTGACCAACTACCGAGCTGCTTCCTCTCCTCTCCACTCCTCTGCTTAGCTCAAGGCTTACATTGAGAAGCTGATCTTATCTTTGCCTTTTTTTCTCCCTTGTTCCCTCCCCCTCCTCTTCTTCCATGCACCATGGCTTGTTCTCCCGCTATCTGTCTCTATCTCTCTCTCTCCCTCTGATACACTAGTTAACATACTGTTGAGAGTCACCAAGATCAATCTCATTTGTGCTAATGAAATATTAATACTTGGAGCCATTTGTCTGGGGAGAGGATTCACAGCACACCAGTGTAGGGAATAATCTACATTCCTACTTAACTGCTTTATTCTCACATCCCAACAATTCATTCATCAAGTAGGCTCCTCTACCTCAAACATATTAACATAACCCTGCTCAGAAACCACCTGACAATTTAACCAACACACCCAAGAGTATGCACCGCTTTTCAAGAAAACTCCTCTCCCTTCCTGAAGCTCCTTCTCCTACTACAGCACAGTATGTTGAGACAGAAATAGACAAATGAATGCATGAACGACATGAGGCAGGATTGGGACAAAGAGTCGCTGTTGCTAAGGCAATCAAGTACAGTAGTTCGGTATACAGTGACAGCAGGTCTGCTTTGTTAAATATGAGCAGCAGCAGCACACCACATTTACATTAATGCTAGACCTTTCATCTTTTACTATTTTTGCTAGAGAGACCTATGAAAATGTTCTTTCCTAAAACGTTTGCTACCAAGCATGCACAGAGAAAAGCCTAGCGGAAGTATTAATGGAACCAGTGACATTAATACATGCAACAACATGCAAGCATCCATCTTAGCCTCTTTCTGCTGCACTGGCAAAAAAATCATTAAATGTTAAAACTCTCTGTTGCTGCAAAGCCCCTCTCTCTACACGATTCATAATTTATCCTCCCTATTTCTCTCTCTCTCTCTCTCTCTCTCTCTCTCTCTCTCTCTCTGATTATGGGGTGCCAGTTACTGGAGCAAGTGGAACATCTCAGCTGCTGACGTGCTGATGAATGTTTTTGTGTGTGTGTCTGACCCAGGAAGGACACCCATCAGAAGGTCAGATGTCAACAATAAGTGTTTCCCATTACAACAGCAGGTTATATGACCCAGGTGCCCTAAATTACACAGTGTGTAAAACCTTTCACTTTGAAACAACCTCTGAAAATCTTTAAACTGGCAATGAGGTCAACATAATTAGCATCAAGCATATAGAAATTTAATTTAACTATGGCCATATGGTTAATACATTTGGGCATTGAACTGAAGGGGAATAAAGATTCAAGGAACTGACGTAGTTTGACCCCAACGCTACATTCACCCCCTGTTGTCCGTTAGAACAGCTGATTTACATTCTGCACTGTGTGTGGAGACATCTTCATGTGTGATGCGATCTTTAAATCTGCTGAACTTACTCTGGCATTGTGATGCTGGTGTGTGCCGTGTAATTCAGAGTTGAGCGAATCTGGATAACATTTATGAGTAGCTCAAGCTCGGTGAAAGAAATATGGGAATCGCATGTTCCTACACACATGCAACTGTGTGGAAGCCTCCATAAAGGCATGCATGCTATGCAGATATAATACCAGCACAGGCAGGTATAAGGTACATCGACGAGTATGCAGGCACGCACAGACGCACGTAGCATTTACATTATGCACCGGGCCCATAATCCTGATATTTTTTACTCTGCTGAAGCTGCTGAACAGTAAAGCTCTGCTCAATACCCCACAACAGAACGCTGCTCCATTTAAAAGACTCTGAATTGATCGCTAAGCTTGCAACAATGGCTCAAAAGGCCCAATGTTGTTATTAATGAGACAACCTTCTACCAGATTAAGATTGTGTACATTATAATTCAAATGAGAGGGGAAGTAAACAAATCGGAAGTGAAAGCGAGTGCTGTCAGTTGTTTGGTGACCTAAACTGGCTCTAAGCATCAATGTGGAATAAGCTGTTTTCTTTACAGTGAGGTACCGCGATAAAAACAAGCAGAATCACAAAGAAATAGGCTAGTGATGAAGTTACTGTGCAGCACTAACGTCTGCCTCAAAGACATCTTCATATTATCGATCAGCAATATGAGCATAGGTGTTTCTGCTGGATTGCTTGTAAAATGTGTGTGTAGTGGTGATAAAGGAGTGGGTCAGACTTCAGACATTTGTATATTTTGATTAGCCTTGAAAAAGTTCCTTGCCATCTGTCCCATCCCTAATGTGCTACCACTAAATCACATGTGCAAAAAACAGTTTTCAGGATCAGCAACAACAAAGCAAAAGTTCCGTAAAATGTGCTCCTGTATAGTTTGTGTTGTTGCAATTATTTGATCCTGTAGCAAAAGCACTGAATCTGCAGCACGGTGAGTGGCCCAGTGTTTCAATATGCTGTTACTGCTGTGGCCTTGGTTGGTCTGTGCAGAGCCCACACAGAGCGAGCGAATGGTCCTTCCTCCAGGATTTCTATATACATTGTTAGAGGGCGTACAACATGAGTAATGTTCTCTTTCGTTGAGCCAAACCTGTAAACATTTGTCCTTGCTCTACTTATAAGATTGTCCTATTATCCAGTATTCCCGTCTCTTCGTGGACTCTAAATTATATTATCTCGCTCTTCCTCATCGCCTGTTTTCATCCCATTTCATTCCTCTACCTTTGAGTCCTACATTTCTCTCTGTCTTTTCATTTTCTCTGTTCTTTCTCTCTGTCTCTCAGGGGACAAGAGCGCTGTGCACGATTGTCATGGCAACAAAGATGGGAAGACAAGATGGAGGAGTCTTAGCTGGCCTGGCCTCCTTTACAGGGGAAGATCCTGTGTGTGAAAACACCAGATGTTGTCTTTAAAATTTCATTTTATAGACTAGAAAAGCTTAAGATAAGAATAGATATTTCCAACAGGTAGATATTCACATATGCAATTGCTTAGCATGCATGTGCGATCTTGCTTCCTAACACATTTTTGTTCCACTGCAGGCAATGGTTAAGAAAGGCTAAGCAAAAAAAGTGTTATATATACTGTATATTTGCAAATCTCAGACTTGCTTGTAGACAAGTTTTTTTCTGTCACTACACTGTCCTTTAGCAGCTACTTCCTTCATTAGCAAAACAACCTATTCTACCGGTTGTCTTTTTCCATTGCACCAATTACGCGTTGCTGTTCTCCCCTCTTCCAGGTGTTTGACACCCACAGAACAGGCTAAAAAACACCGTGTTGGGCAAAATGCACTACAGCCTTCTTCAAATGCTCAGTGACAAAACTCATTTGAATCTTTACTTCTGTGGCTTCTGAACCAGCTGTGTATCAAGCTGAGATTAGCCACAAGCAAATTACTCTGACACTGTTCAGTTCAGAGCAATGCTGCCTCCTGGGATAAACTGTGGTGTAGTGTTACAAAATATGCTTTTCTCTCTTTGACATGCACATCTGATAACACAGACAACTCACTCTGAAACACTTAAGCTATGGTAGGTTCAGTTTTGCTTAACATTTTGTCAATGCTGTAAGGGTTTATATAGAATTTTAACACAGAATATTTTGCACAAAGGTTAACTTCTGTTAACCTTTAAAATCTTACAAAATTGGAATCTATTAATTGCTGTGGGAAACATAAAATAGCTTTTACGTTTGACAGAAAACAATCTCCGTGTGGTGTTATGTTTGTTTGACCTTGTGCTTTCTGCCTTCTCTTAAAAACTAACTCTGCTGACTGAGTCAGACATCGCAGATTGATGAGTCACAGATGAACAGATTAAGGCTTCTTCTCCTCCAGGTGAAGCCCACCTTGTTCCTCCTCCTCCCCCTCTCCTCCGCCTGTACTTCTCTAAACCAATCCCCTCGCTGAACTTCCAGCACTGTTCAGCAAATCTCACACTCGCTCCTCTAATCCTCCACCTCCACTTTCACAAAACATGATCCCTGGCCCTACTATTTCTCATCCTCTACTCTCTCTTTTTATCTGCCTTACCTCGCTCCTCTTCACTTCCATAATTGTTGTTTGTGAACGATCATACACTAGCTGCTAGCGATCACTTGAAAGGTCACCGCATCATTCTCAGACAGAAAGCCGAGCCCATATCTCAGTTCCGAGAACCATTATTATCGAGTACAGCTGCAAGTCATGATTATTTTTATTGTTGATTAATCTCTGATGTATATTTTGGATTCATCAAGTAAGTTGTTTAGTCTAGAAAATGTCAGAAAAGATATTCAATTCAGAAGCAAATGCTCACATTTAAGAGGCTAGAACCAGTGAGTGTTTGGCATATTTGTTTTTAATTCATTTTTTTTGTTGATTGACTAAAGGTGCCTTAACAAACAAGATCAGGTATTTTTATTGCACATCACAGTCTGCGATGCGAGGTGGCTCTTATAAAGTCTCGTTCATAATCTGTGTCAGACTGTGATAGGGGTTTGAGGCACATCTGTGTCAGATTGTGTGGTGAATTTAGCCAACAAAGCTAGACAGTAACCATGGCAAGTCTGAATGTGTTGTCTAGTAGGTTTGCCAACATTAACTTGAGATTTATAGCTAGGGGTGAGTGACCGAGTAACATTAGGTAAGTTTCCTAACATAAAATAACAACTGGTGGAGAGCGGCTCCGGTGTTGTGCCAGAGCCAGGCGAGCGGGCAACATAACCAGCCTCTATGGACATAACGTTAGCCAATGGCAGTGGCAAAGAGACAGAAGAGGAAGTTGATTGAGGAAGCTAAGAAGAGAAAAAGAGAATGACCAAGCAAGAGGCTCACGCTGGCAGGCGCTTCATGAAATAAAAGGCTACAAGACAGACGTCGAGCCAAGTAATATTAGCTGGTTTGCTGTCTTGTGTTGTCGCACTTGCTTAATATTTGGCTGTGTTCAAAAAGTTGTCGACTTGCTAGTTTTTGATCATAAGTGATAGTTATTCTCTTTTTAGCTTCCTCCATCAACGCCATAACAAATGCACATGTACAGCTGTGTTTATTTGTGACAGCGGTAGGAGACTGACACAGCAGGGGTACCAAATTGCACAAAACAAATCTTACATAAAGTTGATTCAAAAAAAGTATAAGAGTAGAGGCGCTTCATCCATCTTTATTTAGCGCCACAATGTTTTCTCACAAACTTGTTTTGATTTGTATGTGCACACTTTTCTCCCCTGAATATTACCGTAAAATTAGGGTTATGAAATGTCGCGTCACACAGTGTATTCTGGGTCATTTTCAGATTTTTGGGTTTGTAGACGTGGCTCGTAGCAACAGTCACATTGTGAGACTTCGGTTCTTTATTTGTGACGCTGTCAGAATTTTGCCAAATCGGCTGTCGTTAAACAAGTCTCACAGTGAGATCTAGGACGGCGTTATGGACTAACAACCAAAGATTTTACCACATTTCTTTCACAATTGTTGTCTTTTGCCTCAGAATCGCAAAGTGTGAATGGGCCTTAAAGGAATTGATCAACTTAACGTTTCAGTAAAATTATCGAGCAATTTAAATTTAGACCCATTTCTGCGTCAGCATCCTTTATGCCAGATACACATCTAAGGGCTGGGAATCAAACCGCAATACTGTGTGGCAACTATCACAGAAAGCCTACATGGAATTCTTGTTCAGAGTACGCTCCTTGTACTGTTCTTTGATCAGACAGATTCTGATTTAAAGTATAATTTGGCCATTTTTAAACTGTATTTTATTTCGGCAAAATTGTTGTACAGCTGCTTGTGTTTAGATGGCATGTAACATTTGAGACATTTGGCTCCTTTAGTAAAATAAAAGAAGGGTTTTGTTTCGTATTGCATGTATTTCAAATAAACAGGGTCTAACCACTGAGATAGAAGCCTAATCCATCTAAATACTGACCACCTGGCTGTCTGTGTGTAGTTTCTGTCCCTCATCACCTGGCCACTCACCTGAACTCATAATAATGACAGGCTGGTGTCAAAGTGAACAAAGATGATCTACGCTGCTGTCAGTCGGCCTGCCTTCCCCCGGTGACTTTCTGTAGCCTCCTTACCAACTTATCCTGTCCTTTATTTCCTCTCTGTCTCGCTCTTGCTCTCTTTGTACCCCTCCCTCTAAGCTCTGGTAGCAGAAATGCTGCCCTGCATCTGTCTCATTTTCTCTCTCACACATACAAACTCTCAGACACACTCACACAGGCCCATAATGATGCTGACATTTAACACAATGCAGCAGCGTTATTCCAGCAGCAGTGCACAAGGTCAACTCATTAGAGGGCATAATTGATGTGGGGTACATATTCCAGCCTAACGGCATGGGCGGCAATTTAACAACAATAAGGAGTGGACACAAACGAGGGATATCATTTTGTATCTGCATGGATACTTTACACTGTGGCAACAAACAATTTCTTTTGTTTTGGCATTTCAATGAGAAAAACATTTATCTCTGGGTCATTCCAGGTCAAACGTGTAGTGTGTAGGAACATGAAGGTAGCGGTGAACAGGCAAGACAAGACGTAGCATTCACCATTAAAAATCCACATTAATGATGCATGACTACATTAGCAAACCTAAAAACAAGAGTATAAGCCAAAAGAATACTCAATTTTCTAATCAAAGGCAATGAAAAATTCTTTCATTTTCCATTGCCATGAACACAGGCTCTAATATCCTCACACTTATTCATTCCAGGTACAGTTTTTTCAAAATAAAACACGTCCAGGGCAGAAAATAAATGTACACACCCTTCACAATACCTAATTATCATACAGGCAACACAAGACGAAAGCAAACGTGAAGACTGACAAAAAGTCTCTGAGGTCCAATTCTGCGGCATCCGCATTCATAACACACATACGAGTCCCTGACCTAATGTGCTCCTCCTCCCCTCCCCTCTCATTCATCCATCTCGCCTCTTTACCCAGCCTCCCACTCCTTCCCACACTCATCTGCTCGACTGCCATGCTAACTCAGCCCATCGTCTCTTTGCCTCTCCTCGTTTCATCCCATCCAGTGCGAGCATTTTCAACCTGCCACCCACTCTCTTCCTCACTTTTCTCTCCTGCTTTCTCATTATGTCATTTTTCTATGCCAACTATTCAAGTTGTTGTCTGGTCAACCAACATAATTTTTTCACATGTCAAAACTTCAGTTCCTGCATCTATGTATTCACCCTTGCTGACAAATATTTGACATCAAGCTCTAATACATACCTCTTTGCACCAGCATGGTGACCTCACTGCCTCTGGGACATTTGCTCAGCAGGTCCACCACCTGATTGTGGCTCATATTCTGGACATTTCTCTTGTTAACTTCCATCAGAATATCCCCTTCCTTTAGGCCACGGCAGCGTGGATAGTCCACTATCTGCTTGACTCTCTGCCCACCTCCCGTCAGGCTGTCGGCAATGGTGAAGCCGAATCCTTTGTCGCCCTTTTCCATGTGGATGGTGATCAGCTCGGGCTGGGTGGCTATGGACGAGGCCAGAGTGACCACATCGCTGGAGTAGCCGTGCGAGCCGTTAGACGCCACCTCAGCTGAGGGGCTGTGCGGCCGTGGCTCCCTCATGCCGTTAACCGGTCCGGCCTGGTTGGAAGGCGAGTCAAACGTCTCCTGTCCGTTGACAATGATAGGCTCCTTGTCCAAGATAGCCACTGAGGTCACCAGGCTGGTGTTGGGGTCATCGGGGTCAAAGGGCAGTGGGTAGCCACGGCATAAGGCCAGGTCCACCATGGAACCAATGGGGATGGATTGGAAGATCTTCACCACCTGAGCGTGTGTGTAGCCCAGCACAATCGTGTCATTCACACTGACTATCACGTCACCTGCACAAAGGAAAATTATACTGTTAGTAATGCCATCATGTACACTATAAACAGCTATTTACTGGGGTATAAAGTTAAAATATCAAGTCAAATGATTGTTTTTTTTATTTTTTTTTAAAACACCGTTGGTGTTATTTAGTATCATTCCCCAGTCGTGTGAAATTTCTTTATTCAATTTAATAAAGCAATAACACTAAAGTGCCTGTAAAAGGTAACCTAACATGGGTGTACTGTGCCTCAAACCCAGTGTAGCTCCCTCTGGAGCCACAAAAGCATTTACAACTGTTTTCTTTTTACATAATGCAGTGGTACTCCCCAAGACCTGTAAAAAGACTTTGTAAAATGTGTAAAATTCGAGTTCCCCTTTAAATCGGCATCACCTGTGACATAACATAGTATATGAAGTATATAGTCATATGAAGAATTTGTGAAATCATATTACCTGGATAGAGACATTTCTATGCACAGTATCATGTAATGAACTGGAGTGTTAAAACAGTAACTCAAAAGTTTTTGCGCCACAATGTTGTTATTCCCATAAGCAAGGTCTGTAGAGTTTCAGACTTATGTAAAGTAGACAAAGGGCTTTTAAAAAATCCAGAGAGCCATTAAGCAATACAGCTGTATTCATGGTGGGACAACCCCAAGGCCTCACGAACTTTGCTATGAAAAGTCTGTGAGTGCATAAGAAGGACCACTGGAACTGGGACCGTAAGTAGTATAGAAAATGGATGGCTGTAGTGGAGGAACACTACCATGTGGTGTTGTTGAATGAAAACAGTGCCACCTGTGGATGGTGGTTATGTACTGCACCTGTCTCCATCTTGCCATCCACGGCTGCAGGTCCGTCCAGCACCAGACTTTTGATCTGCAGAAACTCATCTGGCTCGTCGCCTCCAACCACAGTGAAGCCGAAGCCACGGCGACTCTTCTTCAGCTTTGTGTTGATGAAAGTTCCTTTCAACTCTGCTGGGTTTCTTGTGAAGAAAGGCTTCCCTCCTGCAGAGCACCAGAGAAACAACTCTCAGCTGTGTGTCCATCCACACATAATACTTTCAGTATTGCTGAATAATGTTTTGTAGATAAAGTGGTAATTTTCTCTTTCAGATCTAGATTTGCAAGAGGGTTAGAACTTAACCATTAACACCGGCTGTGATAAGCTATGAAACTGATGATTGATTTGTCTGGTTATTAGAAGTGTTGTTGCATGGGCAGCTTGGACAGTTTGCCATTTGTCTAACATTTGGTCTGCATGCATTCGCTCGTCACTTCCACATACAATAATTTCCAAAAGTGTTGGCAGTGTCCTTTTCAAAAGTCACTTTAAAACAAATCAAATCAGCAGAAATTCAATGTTTTCTGTCCAGAAAATGGAGAAAATTTTTTCACAATTTTCAGTGCAGATGTAGTAAACAAAATGTCCACATTGCTTCTGTTACTTTCATTGTTTCATCTGAACTACATGATCTATCTCTGGGCCACTGTCAAGAGCACATGATAGAAAAATCTACAGTGTTTATTCAACATATAGATTTACGTTTGGCTCCTGCAGGGCCGGGAGGTAGAGATGGTGGGACCTGCGGGTCCCGGTAGGTCTCCAGGTGGTTTGGAGCGTAGTTTGCTAATGGGGCCGCTGCTGAAGAATGCTCCTCTATCCACTCTGTACACAATCACACACACATTAATAATAAACACACACTCAACATAAAGGTGTATTTACATGTGGCACACATATAACACTTAACAGCGACAAACGTATAGACACACAGAGCTTTTAGCACATACTGTAGATACTTGCCATCTGATTTATTTTCGCGCCTCATCTACATAATTTACATGAGCTTCTACTAGTATTATTTGTCGAATATAAGATACTTTTGTGTTGTCATGTAAAATAAATATTTTCAATCTCAGCAATGACAATGTAGCAATGTATATGTTATTTGCAAAACGGTTTACATTTTTTGACATTCCAGGCTGAAGTGATGCCCCCCTCCCCTCCCAGACAAAACAACTGTGCCTGTATGTCCAGAGGTTTTCGAACCGGGGCAAACATCTGCATCTGAATGGATAGAGGAGTGTCTGTTCCACCAACATAAGAACCAAATATTTGATGGGAAAATCAGTACTGTTAAAAAACACAGATAATACAACATAAAAAAAGTTAATATTAAAGGAAGTTGTCTTACTTCTATTTAGGGAGATAATCATGCTCTAAGTCCTGTTAATTTGAAGCCTTTGGTGGACGTAAACAGGAAGTATAATGTTGCAGAGAATTCAGTCAATTAGCTGTGGGCTACAATTTGAGCCACATTTTTTGTAACCTATATTTGTATCTTATACAACATATTTCTAAATTTGGCGAATTGGCATCATTAAAAGTATGCCGTATTAGCAGTTCCTGTTTGTAATAGATGTACTGTACATATAACTATCACTGGATTGCTTTGATACTGAAGAAACCTTAAAAAAGTCATAATTCGCAGGCAAGTTCTGGAGTTATAAGGAGTGTCTTTTTTTCCCTATGATTTCCAATAAGATTTATGGACATGTATTCGCAATGGACATAGGGATAATGCTATCCCTGGAAATTGTAAGTTGCACTGAATCTAAAAATGTCTCTATGCAAACTGCAGCAATTGGGCACTAAAGGTATATAAAGTACCTTAATTACCTCCATGAGCTGCATGTCACACTCCTGACCACATTGATGAACGTGCCAAATCAACTGGCCAAACTTTCAGAACCCCAGCATGCACCGGTCCCTTTCACCTCACATATTTTTGCCTCACGTCCCCCACTGTCTTCTTTAACCCTCCCGCGCCCCCCCTGGGGAGGCATTCCTCACAGTTTGAAAACCTCTGGGCAAAAGTTAACATCTCTTCCACGCCTTTTCATGGCAAAGCAAATTGAACGATACAAAATGATGCACAGCATTTATGATTTTAAATCACACAAATTAAAACCTAAACACCAAAGACGACACCCAGGGCTTGGGCCAGCTCCATTTCAGTAAAACTGATATGAGAATCAGAATTTGCATTCAGTGAACAACAATGTTTTTTTTCTCCATCATATCTTGACAAGGAAATTTAAATCAAGTCACAGAAGAGAGAACAGCGGTCTGGCCCAAACCCGGGAGAGCACTGGACGAACTGGAAGGACACGACACTCACAGACATGAAGAAAGAAAGAAATGGTGCCGTGCCAGGGCAGGAAACGAACCTCGAATATACCGCTCACCTTCTGGAGGCTGCGGCTGTTGCTGCTCCAGGATTTTGCGACGCCGCGCCTCCACGACTGGGTTCTCATACTGGGTCTTCCTGTTTATATGACTGAGTCAGAGGGAGAGGAAACAAGATAATAAGGGTAAAGATTGTTTGGAAAACAGAAGAAATGACAGTTACAGTATATAAAAGCTCATCAAATGTGCTCTTATCAGTGTGAAGGGCAGACTCACTGAAGTAGAGAAAAGATTTGTAAGAGGGTCTTTAATGTGGACACACTGCCCTGTTTTTCTTTGAGGTTAGGTGTCAACAAGGTCATTAACTTACTCTACATAGTACACCCCATACACTGGGTCTTCTATCCTTTCCCATCCTGGAGGCAGCTCTAAAATACAGAAGGCACACAACATTAAACATAGAAAAACAACACTTTCACCGAGCTGAGTGCTTGGGTTGACTACCAAACATTCAGTGTAGCAAACCTAGTTTTTATACTACATTTACAGTAGATGTATCGCAAAATCATACTACTAATGTCTCCACATTGCTTATTTTCTCTGTTCTGTTATGTGAAGCATGCTTCATCAGCACTTGCTGTTTTATGACACTGCTTTCTGCTGTTTTGAATTCTTCCATAAATGCCAAAACGTAATCCAATGCCAAGAAAAACAAAATAAAACTTTTACTTTTGGACAAAAAGGATTTATGACCATTATTTTATTTTGAAAACAACATTTATTTGAAATTGTATTTTTGAAATCCTATCTGTGGTTTCTACCTGCCAAGGACCCACAACACTATTAAATGTTCCCTTTAACATTTCTGTTTTATTACAATTGTAAAAGTAAAATGGTTCAAGCCCACATTGACTCCTTGAACTGGTACAGAGGATTCTAGCAGTGCCAGTAGCACTTATGTTTTAGGAATATTTACAGATCTAGTCAACATGTCAGACATGTTTTAATTTCTCCTGCTGCCTACAACCACTTTTATTATGCTCATTATGACTAAAACACCTGACAAAACCTGTGAAAACAAAGACCTTGCATATTACAATAATATTCCGCAGTACACACACCTAAACACACTTCATGGGAACAGGCGGACAGATGAAGCCTCCTAAACTGACACATTCCCATTAAGATGTTGGCCTCTCAGTCCTCCACACTATATTTGATTTCAGACAAAGACGTTACCTCCTTGTGTTACTGTGGGCTTCTTCCAAGTCCAGTAAACACTTTTATAAGAGACTGGATTTCACAATCAATAATCACAGACTTCATCTGAACAGCCAGCAATAATAAAGGCTTACAGCCAGACGTTCAAGGCCTTGTTTGAGACTGAGCTCTCGTTCCATTACAGGGTTGTTTGTGTAACCTGCAAATTACCAGTCTGTGAAGCAACTTAAGTATACAATGTAAACCTGAGTCCTCAGCAAAACCTCAGCATAATGTGTTTTTGGGCAAAAAAACTCCTGCTATTCACACTACGAACCGGGAGGAGCTGAATGTTTCAAAAACAGGCACAACCTTTCTTTGGACACGGATGTTAGAATTTAAGGCTAGAGCTATGATCAACAACATATACATAATTTTTTTAATCCACACACACACACACACACACACACACACACACACACACACACACACACACACACACACACACACACACTAAATCTCACAGAAATACATGCGAGGGATTAATATCCTGAGGCTCAAGACAGGGACACAGACATAACTTATGCTTGTCAGATTTACATAAGATGGTTTTATTTACCATTGATAAACATAAACCATCTCCACTCTGCAGGAATTGGCATCTGCAGGAAATCCATTATGCTTTAAAGTTACTCTGTGGAGTTTTCAGTAAACAAATAGAGATTTGTAAATGTAAACAAATAGAGATTTGTTTACATTTACAGTTCTCAGCAATACACATTGTGTGTTTCCTCAACATCTACACATTGAATCCATTGCTGACTAGTTTCTTTTGTTTTTGTTTTTTTATGAAACTTGCATTGTTTACATAAGCTTGCAATCTTCTCCTCTTTTTCGGTCATATTGCCATTACAGCACATTACCACCACCAATTATCTTTGTGCACCACTGCTCTCTGCAGCTTGCACAAGCACCACGTCACCTCTCTGCTTGTAGCATGCACAAAACACAATCACCATAACTTTGCTAGACGGCTCATTTAAATCCTTACAGCCTTCTTTTATGCTGCCTCAAAAATCTCTCCACTGCAGCCTGCTGGCAGAATTTAGAAGCTTGGATTTTCAAACAATGTGAATAGAAGAAACCATTTTACCACTTTTAGTGCAGCATTTTAGAGATGATCGTTCTAAATAATTATATAACCTAATTTAATATCCCCCAGCATAACTTTTGCTTGAAACAAAAAATCCTGTACCTAGATCCGTCTCCAGGTCTTCCGTATGTATCCCTTCTTCTCCAAGTTGAAAGCAGGATGAAACAAAGCAGACAAAATGAAGAATAGAAAAAAGGATGGGTAGCAAAAGAGAGGTGGGTCAGGGATAGAGGAATCAAGAGAAAATAAAGAATGAAGTGATGGTCCAGAGAAAGGCAAATAGGGAAACAGAAACCCCTTAGTCTCAATTCACAGGATAAAACAGCATCTTAAAAAACTGAGAAATGTAGTAGAAGTGCAGTGTGCCACTCTACATTTCACCACTTGATGGTGCAATATTGCAATTTGTGTTCTGAATTCTGAAGTAGTCAACTGTCACTTGGAATTTTATCCAACATTTTTTGTTTATTTGGGTATTATTTGTCACCTCTTTATTTGATAATAGTTGTGAAAGAAAACTAAATCAGCTGTTTAGAGTATGGCAAATGCAGGACACATACTAATATCAGCTGATCTTGCCTCAAACCTCTGATCGGATATCTTCTAAAAATACGCTACTGAGAAATGAAGGTATTAACAACCACTCAGTACACAAGAGGAGCACAATGTGTGAGACCTCACGCACCACCTACTGATTCAAACACTACAAAGACGCGTGAATGTACACTTAAGTTATGTAAATCATGTGTACCAGCTTACCATCGTCATCACACTCTTCCAAAGGCCTGGCCTTGTCTCTACACCGAGGATCCAGCCATGATGTGGTCTTTGTGTTGTGGCTGAGAGGAAAAAACAAGAAAACGAAACAATTCAACACAGGCCGTCAAACTGTCATATGAAAGCACAGCAGGGATGCAGGAATGCATCAATAAGAATTAGAAAGTAAACCGCGTCAGCAAGTTTAGAGAGGACAGCAGGCGTCTGCTGCAAAGAGAAATGAGAACAACAGAGCGACAGAGGCAGGATATCAACAATAAATAACCTGACTTTCCCCTCTATTGTTAAACAAGAACATACTGTAATTCAGTGATAGCAGAAATGAACATACAAGCTCTGAAAATACACAGCCATGTCCTGGTGGTGTGCCTTTGCCGTGCTGCAGAGAAGACAGAGAGGTGGAGGTAGTCAGGTGATCAGGATGTGATCTCCTTTAGAGATCGGGACATGCAGGGATTAACAGGAAAGCAGTGGCACCCAGGGGGCTGGGCAGGTTGGCTGGGGAGGCCTAAAAACCAAATCATGGGGGAAGACAAGCCACTGGACGAACAAAAGGGATAATAGTGCAGGTAAAATACAGAAAACACCAACTACTATGAGCTACAGTGAGAAATGCTTATTCAGGCAGTGCAAAGAGTGTGTGCAGGAGATCAAAACCGCTGCAGGTTGTTGATACATACTCTATGAAGTAAAGTTCTCCGCTCTCAGTGTAGGCCATCTCCCAGTTCTCAGGCAGCTGCCCCAGCGGGTCTTCCGGGGAGACCTGCGGTTCTGCGAGGGTCTGCTGCCCACTGTCTGCGGTGAAGGTGGCCGCATTGTTCAGACCACAGGATGGAGCATTGTCACGCGCGGGGTATGGCCGGAGGATGCCGCCGCGGCTCTCGTCCTGGTCGTTAGGGTTACCTGTGCACAACAAAGGAGAGGGGAAGAGACTACGCACTAAGGATCCTGGGTAGCACAACACGGAACGACAACATCCAAAAAAAAAAAAAGAAAGAACAAAAAGTTTATGTCTCATGCATGCAAGAAAGAAACAGATGAAATAAGCAGGCATGCTCACTCTGGATACCCTTTAGCACATATAATGCAACTTCAACTACACTAAACTCCCACACACCCTTCCCCCTATCTTAAATTTGGCTCCCGCCTACTTCTAGTGTATTGAAAGGGCCCCAGGAATATGCTAATTCTTTCAACAACAGTCTTTCCCAAACTCTTTTTGACCCCCACTCTGTTTTACCTCTCCACCCATAAGCCTCTTTCTCCTAAAGCTAGCTATCCGAACACCCATCCCCACTTGCTCCCCAGTCTTAGCTCAATGTCCTCCACTACTTCCGTGGGCCTTTCAGGGTTGATCAAATGCTAATTCAACACTCTACCAGCCTGGCAAGGGGATACAGAGAGGGCATAGATTCACAGCATCAAGAGAGAAGGAAAAAAAACAACACACCATCTCTTGCACTTGAAAAACAGGATAGAGCTCAAAGAAGAGAGGGAAAAAGACTTAAGCATTATTTTGTCACCTATTTTCTCTTCTTACATACATACATGGAAATGATTTACATGGAGATGACTACTCTGCTAATACATGTTGAGAAATATCTGCCATGAAACTATATCACCTGATAACACTTGGTGAACATGTACACATGCTAGGGGGAATTTAATGAAGAAAAGCAAGAAACTGAAAAATAACATACAGGTAGGAAAGGATGTGAGAGAAAATCATAAATCTTGTGAATGTAGCCTGTAATCTATTTCTTCCCCCAGTACACCCCTCCTCACAGGCAGATGGCAGTGTTTGGAGGTTTGCAGTGAAGGAATCAGCATCACAAAGACATGATGTAACCACCAGACACCCAGCGCCGTACAACAGAGGAGAGGATCAGAAACACACACATATTCACTCCCTCCTTCTGTATTCCTAATCTTGGGCACACACACGCGTGCACAGACACTCCTGAAACACACATCCACTTGAGAACAGCACAGATGGAGAATGCTACACATGCACAGACAAAGAAAAAGAAACTTCAACAAGAGACTGGAGAGGGTGCAGCTACGCCCTCACCTGTAAAACTGTTGTTCATTTCCGTGGCCTGGTCGTCATCGTCGTCGTCAGCAGGCACTACTCGGGCGTTTTGCATGTCATTGTAGGACTTGGTGCGCTTTGGGGTGGACTGCTGGGAGCCTGCATCATTGAGAATCACTGTCCCGATGATGGGCTGCCTTGGCGGCTTGGGGGTCCCATAATAGTTACCTAGGCAACAAGAAGGACATTAGCATGCTTGAGAGAGAGACACTGGAGGAGAAACTGAGACAGAGAGAGGAAGCCAGGGATAAAAACAGGCTGGGGATAAAAAAAAAAAACACACAAACAGGATGAGGGTCTATGAAACCTCAGAATAATACGCTGAGATGAAAAGACATAAACTGAATGACAATGTGACTACAAGTCGTGAAAATTAGCAGCTGCTGGGAAAGCCAAACAGTTCTATATTGTGTTTGAGGCTGTAGAACTGTATTGTCTGGACGCTGAAAGCACACTGAGCAAAAACAATGGACCAGCAGCAACACCCAGCTTGTTTTTCGGACTGACATTGTTTTTGTCAGTGGTGCAAACAAATAATTTATGGAAAAAAATCAGACATGGCATGAATCATGTGTCCAAATATTCTATGTAAATAGAAATAGGTCATGGTGGCGTAGGGGTCTAATGCATACCACGTAATGGAAACATTAAAGGAGTAGCTCAATAGCTTTTGGAAATGCGCTTATTCACTTCCTTGCTTGTGTTAGATGAGAAAAGGACACCACTTTTAAATCTGTCGGTATAAAGCTGGAGCCTGAAACCATGAAGCATAAAGACTGGAAACAGCTAAAACAGCTCTGACCATAGGTAACAAAATCCACCAAGCAGCCCCTCAAAAGTTCACTAGTACGTGATGTCTCATTTGTTTAATCTGCACAAAACTCTAAGTGTATAGACAACAATTTGTTTTACAGGGTGTGTGCGACTATTTCGTGGCCGGGCGCAGTAGCCTCCTGGATTCTCTGCGGGTTGCCAAACAAAAATATGCTACTTCACTTTGAGAGTTAGATGAGTACATCAATATAGGCCGCAGCCGATTATCTTTTAGGTTTAGGATTAAGGCTGGAAGCAGGGGGAAACAGCTAGCATGTCTCTGTCCAAAAACAAACAAGATATGATTTGTTAATTAATGAGCTTTAGAGGGGCTGGTAGGCAGAAGTGGTTACCTACAGACAGAACCAGGCTAGCGCTTACCACCTGTTTCCAGTCTTTTTATGCAAAAAATGATGCTATGCCTTCTTGCTGTAATTCCATAGTGCATTTAATCAAATATTTCTCTATATATTCATATATCCAGAACTATGAATCAATAATCCTGTATTCCTGTGGTTGTCTGTATGGCCGCAGACTCCTGTGGACAGGTATTTGACATTGTCTGCGTGAAAGAGAGAAACGTGCCAACACACAGAAGAACCTGTGCCAAGCAGATTAATGTCGTAACATTCTCTCCCAGCCTCATGTGCTCAATCACACGTGGAACACACAGGCTTGCACACAAACACACAGTGCACAAACACACATCCGCCCACACACGCATGTTTACACGCACAGGTTTGTGTCAGTATGAGACTTAGCGCTGCACAACACTGTCCTAATCAGAGTGAGAGGGGCAGATGTGGAGTGACCTGCTGTCTCCTGGATGCATCTCCCCCCTTCATGCACAGTCTAATCGGAATCAACTGAGTGAACACACTTATAGCCCGCCTGCATGTAGGAAAAAATAAATGTTGATCGCTGCCACGCTCATTGTATCTGTGGAGAATCAGGCCACCTGCGCTATCATGAGCTGCAGGGATTTTCAGTTATGTTGATGATAATGATCATCATCCTCACCTTCATATGTTCCTATTTCCAGAAGTGTGCCACTCTCTTCAAGTTCTAGGAAGTCCTCCACAGACAGGAAGTTGTAATCCACCCCTGGGACCTCTCCGTCTCGAGGGGGGCGGGTCGTACCTAAGGGCAGGAAAAACAAACAAAGTTTAGGTGGCTGCTAGTTACCTGCATGCAATAACCTTCAGGCCGCGTGCTTACAGTTGACTGAAGATGAAATCAGTTTTCCCTCATGGCACAAACCACTACCTGACTGAAAGTGTTAAAATGCAGTCAACCCTGACATTCATTCAGCTTTTTGAGATGATGACCGGCCATGGGCAAGGGTTTTCAAAGCAGTAAATGAGAGAGTTCTGAAATCAGGAGGGCGTGATTGTAATTCAGAGCGGCGATTGGAAGCAAAGAATATTAGGCTCTCTCTGCCTCATGGGAAAACTGCTGCCTGCTGTAAGTCAGAAGATAAAATAAAGGTGACCTTAAGCCATAGTCCTGATAACTGTTATCAATCCATCAATTTCTTCATGGTGAGTCTGGAATTGTAAAATGCACCAACATAATAGTATTATAGTCATTTAACTTAAGCTGTTATTGATCGTTAAAGCTGCATTGTCCCCACTTCGACTGCAATGCTGAACAGCTACACTTACTGCATTCTTAGGTGTTGTCAGGTTTAACGGTTGTCACACAAAAGCTTTTCAGTCTGAGGCAATGGAAACCAGGACTGATTCCTTTATGTAAAAAGAAAAGAAAACATGAGACAGTGAAACTCAGGATATTTGACATAATTCTGAAAGAATTGCACATCAGAGGACTGATTAGATTCTCTATTGAATTTGGTTTCAAATTCTGTTAAAAGGTAAACCAACATTAAAATTTTCCTTGCTGGGCCTTACTGCCTCGAACCTGATCCCTTACTGGGGTTAATGATTAGTGGTTTGCGGTGTTTTTACTTTGTAGTGGGAACACTTTGTAGGAGGAAGCTGACACCAGACAATGGAGAGAGGAGCTATTGTGTCTCTGTCTTCATAAAAGGGAGACGAGATGACGGGCCAGATGGTTGATAGAAGTTGTAACCCGTCTGTGACCAGAACAGGAGTATATACATGCCTATAAAGTATATTTATATATAAAGATATACACAGATGTATACACTTCCCTCTCAAGTGAGATAGACTCCACTGTAATACATGCAGAAGAGAATCATTGTGGGTAAGACACAATGCCTACTACTGGGTCTATGTGATGGTAAACAGAAGTACAGTAACTTCCTACAGGAAAAGGAACAACTACCTTAAAACAAAACTCAAGTCCACAGCCAGGATACCAAATTTCATGGCTATCCATCCAATAGTTGTCACTCTTCAACTATTAACATCATCACTGTGTTCTACCGGTGAAAAACCTCATGTTTGACACAAGACTCTTGCTTGTTCAAGTGATTACCAGAACCTCTCCAATATGCAAGCTTACACTCCATCCCTCAGCGTACACCCAGCCCACAAACACCCCGATAATAGGCAAGTCTTTACAATACACAGCTCAGTCCTATACCTGCACTCACACTTACACTTACAGCCTGTGGATACCCTAAATGGACCTTTGTGAAGACAGCCACAAAATCCAAGAAGAACAAAACTACAGGGGAGGAGGAAAAGAAGGTCAAACACAACAACATTGTGATTCCATACGTGTCTGGAGTATCAGAGAAACTCAGGAGGATTTTCAACAAACATAACATCCCTGTGTTTTTTAAACCCAAGAACACACTAAGACAGATGCTGGTACACCCCAAAGACCGCACACCCAAACACAAGAAAAGCAATCTAGTGTATGCGGTCCAATGCAGTGAGGAATGCACAGACCTGTATATTGGGGAGACTAAACAACCACTTCACAAACGCATGGCTCAACACAGAAGGGCCAACTCCTCAGGTCAAGACTCTGCAGTCTACTTACATCTGAAGGACAGAGGACACTCGTTTGAGGACCACCAGGTGCACATTTTAGACAGATGAATGGTTTGAAAGAGGTGTCAAGGAAGCCATCTACACCCGGGTTGAGAAGCCGTCATTGAACAGGGGAGGGGGTCTACGCCACCACTTATCCCCCACTTACAATGCTGTCCTTTCATCACTTCCCAGGAAACTCAACAAACGTAACCTATTGACCTCAGGTGAAGATACCAACGATGGTCGTTCAGTCTTGGCCACAGGTAGTCTTAACGACTGTAACGACTGTCATCACAGCAACAAGGAACACTAACGAACCAGCGGTATCGATGACCCGGGCCAACGTCCCCACTGAGGTTAAATAGCTGAGTTTCCCTGCCAGTCAGTCAGAACTGAAGAAGTCCTTTGGATGAGGGACGAAACGTCTTCCAGTATCTTCAACCAAGTCCAGTTGCCCTTGATTTTAACCTTCGTTGGATAACTATGACCTGGATGACTGAGAATCTTCATAGACACTCCAAACGCTATGGTGATTCTTTTTATCACTTTTCTCTCACTGCTACACTGAAAATGATACTCAAGATAAACTGATAAGGAGGAGGCAATTTAGGTGACATAGTGCTCAGAATGTGAGCAACAAAAAAAACACATGATATATCATCTAAGTGACCGCTTACAGCAGCAGCACACAAGCACAGCACTGCTTTGTATTCACCTCAGTGGATCACGATGAGATGAAAGTGAAGTTGTCTGGGAGTTTGAGTCATAGGACTGTGTGGTCCCACGGTGGGAGATGTTTCTGAGGCTCAGTGTGCACTAATGACACTATCTGCTGAGCAGGGAATGGAGCTGTTATTCCAGGCTATTCCCCACAGTGGAGGGCTCTGATAAGATGACTAATTCTGGTATGCCTATAGTACAGAATATTAAAGGCTGAACACTGCCTCATTACAACAGATCTTTCAGCTTCTGTTACGGGTTACGTCACTATATGTTTGGCATAAAACACTGATTTCCCTAAATGTTTCCTAATCTTTTAACCCTTGTGATGACTTGAGTGGTACTGCATTCATTTCACAGAGTTTATGATTCAGACACCAGCTCTGCAGCCATTTGACAATTCCACTTCCTCATGAAACGTGACAATCTGAGCTTCTGGGTTATGTAAGTAAATTAAATATTTTCAGTACAGTAGGACATCACTCTTGTTGCATTGAAGCAATATATCCCCACATTGTTACGCATTTTATGATGTCACAGCCATGGTTGCTAATTTTTTATAATTCAGAGCTGAGATGCTGAGATATCTCTGTTGTTGACTGCAGCAAAGTCAAATAAGAGAAGACAAAGTGGGGATTCCAATTTAAGACAAATGTCACATTTGTCATGTTACAGCAATATAACATATAATATAATACAACATAATATATATATATATATATATATATATATATATATACACATACATACACAGGCTGTGGGAAAAGGACATGAACAAATAAAAAATAAATACAAAAACATATTCAAAGTGGTAAGTAGGCTTAGACTTTTATACCTTAAAAGTACAACAAGTACAAGGCTTTAGTGCTTCAATCAGTCTCTGTAGGATGGTATCGGTATACAAAAGCATCTCTGCATCTCTGCAACTGGGGCAAGTTAGCTATTCAGCACAAGTTACTATGGCTAATTACCCCAGGAAGAAGTACACCACCGTCAAAGGACTGAAAACCTGAAGTTACCTCACTAACTTCAAATCCTGCTTCGCAGTACGGGGCCACTGGTCAACAAGCAAGGTCATTTATTGAATATTTATTGACCATCTGTTATATTGTTATTGAAAAAAAATATTGCAACCATTATTGTTATTGTTTTATTGTCTAGCCCTATGTGATATTAATAATTTTCTGGAAAATAAATGAAGAAATTGTTTAGAGCTGCAGCATCTGCAACACTTTTTTGATTGATTCATTGTTTGTCATTCTTCAAATAAAAATGCTAAATATGATGGTTACAGCTTCTTAAATGTGAGAATTCACTGCTTTTCTTTGTCTTACGTGATAGTAAGTAGAATTATTTTGAGGTTTTAGACTTTAGGTCGAACAAAACAAGACATTTTATGTGATGTGACTTTGTTCCCTATATAGTATATTCTGATGGGCATTTTCACTGTCTGGTGTTTTACAGACAGAACAATGTATCAAGAAAACATTGGACTCATTAATAATGAAAATAATGGTTAGTTGCATACCTAAAATAAGCAGACAGGAAGTCGGTTTTCATTAACCCATCTTACACATCTACGACTTGACCACACTGATGCAAAATTTATTAAAACTTAAACATTCATTAATTGATTAGTGGATTGTAAACTGAATGTCTTTGGGTTATACTGTTGGTTGGTCAAAACAACACATTTGATGATGTCACTTTGGGCTTTAGTAAAATTTTATGAGAATTCTTCAGAATTTTGTTCTATAGACAAAAACGATGAATGACAGTAGACTGATTCACAGTATATTGTGTGATATTATATTTATTGTCATATTGCACACCCTATTACACAGAAAGTCTTCTAGAACTGAGAGATGATAAACATGCATATAATGATAAAATATCTTTTTCATCAGCACAGCTCAAGCCCACTTGATGGCATTTATACGTTTTATTGTTGCTAAAGAACCAACTTTTTAGAAATCATTAACTAATATAAGGACTTTTTGTTAAGTTTGGCAGATAACTCCTGTTGAATTACTCGGCAGCTTGTCGTCAGTTGGACTCACAGAGAGAGAGTCTGAATGCTCTCAGTGTACGACAGAAACAGTGAGGTCACATTTTTCTCCTTACTATCAGTATGGATAGTCTATTTTCTCTGGCCAGAGAAACAATGATGGCCCTGACCCCGGCTCTGATGAACTAAGTTCCACTGACAGTCATCAATGGGCTCCATTCTTTCACTGTGAGAAACCAGCCAGTGGACGCATGAATGTAAAAATTAAACAAGCACATTTGGAAACATCTTCAGTTTAGAAATGCCACCAAACCCAGCAGAGAGAAATCTTTGTTCAGGGAAAAATTGGGTGCTTATGCTCCCAGAGAGCATACAAGGCAGTATAAAAATGCCCGAGTGTTACCTTTTATTTTTACTTTGTTGTACTGGTAGGAAAACCAGTAAAA